TGTAGAGGGGTTCGCAACCACTTTGAAATTAATTTCCCTTGTGAAATTTACGTATACGTAATTGTAAGAACTGGCCCTGCATAAAAGAGCAAGTAATTCGCTGCAAGTGACCCAAATCTTGGCCAGATGGCGCCCAAACTGCTCCCGATGCATATGAAATTAACGATTCCATTTGGATTTATTGTACATTAACCATAATTTGTGTGATTCAATTAACCCTTGTTGATTAATGCGGGCTTCGGATGACAGTCGAAAAGTAATTAATGTGGTTTATCATTCGACAAGAAATACTCGTATATGATGACCTTTTGAAACGACTTCTGCCGCTGATAATAAAGAATCACTAATAAAATGTTTTTGTTTTGATTAAATAAATTTTAAAAATATATTTGTTAAATATGACTGTTTCGATAAATACAAAATTAAAAGATTACTTTCTAATCAAAGTGTTTATTTTCCTGATTTACTTTCTTTTTAAATGAAACTTACAACTTCTCAGCAAGTGAGAACATATTCTGCTGACTTTGTTCACGCTTTTCAGTTAGTTTTCAGCTTGATGTGGAAAATGGCATGTGAAGTTTTCCGCTTCTTGCGCTTTTATGGGCAAGCTTAGTTGTCAAACGCACACGAAGAATGTCAACTGAAACTTGTTCATTATTTTCGCTACTCCCTTTTTTCGAAACGAGTATTGCGTGTTTTTAAGTAATTATGCTTTGATTCTCGGATAGCTTTTTTGTTTTAAAGCTCCAGAAGCGGCGTGGCAACAAGGGGTTAACAATTGCCCGAGTAATGACATTGACAGTTTTCAAACAAAGTGACGTCATCATCTAAAAAGTTAAATCAGAATCAAAAATCGTGTGACATGCACCAGTCTGGCATCTGTATATGTATTTTTAGCAAAAATTGCAGCGAAAAGTAAATAAAAAACAGGGAGAGGTCTCCAACCCACCACAATAATTCTAAGATTACGAGGTTCTAAAAAAGAACTAAACCTCTACTGGAAAGTGGACAGTAAAAATAGAACAAGAAAAGCTCGCTGGACACTCGCAATTAATGGTAAATTAATGGCCCAAAGACACGCGGCCAGGAAGGCTAAGACTAACATACTAACTGGACAGAGATTAGTTGACTTTGTCAACGTTTTCCCGACTTTTCTGTTACGCCACTGCAGTTGCGAATAAATAGAATTGCAAATATTATTGCAAGAGTTGCCGCTAAACGAGGGATGCCAACGCCCGGACAAAGTTCAAGTGGCTGGAAGACTTGGCAATGAAGCTGCTCTAATGAATGTCAGGGGGTGTTGGGGGCGGTCATGAAGGTCGGCTGCTGAGTGCGAGACGATAGTAGACTGCAAATTGAGCTCTTCTCTTGCAGCTCAATTTCGTTATTCCATGTAAGCCGCTTAAGATAAGACACTTCATTTCGCTTATACAGAAACTTCGGGGGAAGTTGAAATGGGTATTATGCGAAATCATCCTTGAAATAAATACTTTTAAAGTCTTCAAACGATAAAAATAAGATTCTATGCTATAAATTAGACTAATAAACAAAAAGATAACTCAAATGACAATACAATTTAGGTAATTTGCCAACTTTAATGGCAATTCCTACATTAATTAATGATTTATATCGAAGAAACACTTTAAAATCACGTATACGCCACATGGACTGATTTCTGAGACATTTCGCCACCAGCTGCCTGTGTTCCATCCAAAACAAATGTTAATGTTTGTTTTCAAGTGCCAAGACATGCATTTCATCTGCATTAACCATATCACACAGAGGCAACATTGGGAAGCTCAATACCGACAGCGACATTGAAGTGTCCGTTGCAAATATGTGTGCCAAGTTAACCCAATAAAAGCACCAGCAAATGTTGCTTATGTTTGACATTCTTCTTGTTCCGCTGGGGCAAATGGAAAGACAATAAACATTTGGGATCGAATGGAAATGGGGAATCAACTTGATATTGAAACCGAAAACGACAGCAGCAACAGGCCAAAGAAAAAGGCAACCCCAACGCTGCGGACAGACAACAGCAGCTGGCCCAATGGATTGGCCTATAGATATCTGGGTATCCATATACATTATAATGCTTATATTATAATGCCAAACGGCAGCAGAGGCATCAGCAGCAGCTCAGCAATCAGCGATGCGTGCATGGCAAATGAATTAGTAGCGAATAACACGCTGGTTAAACCCTCCCTCCTCTTCCTCTGCCATTTCATATTCATTGGCATTGCGGGAGGGAGGGCCCCAAAAAGGGGGTGTGGTGTGTGTGTCTGCTATGGAATGCCTTTAGGCCCATAATCAAGCCGCAAAGCATAGAAGCAACACGTGTCTCATTCGATTTTGATGGAACGATGCGACGTGCCGCGCTCTCTTTTCGCGGATGGAAGTGGAAAAAAGTTGTGATTATGGGCTTCCACCCTTTGGTTATGGCCAACAAGGGGTTGATCAAATTATAAAGCCCCCAAAATATTTGTTTTTTGCTTATCATAAAGCATAAAAAATTGATAACCTAAAGCCAAAATAACTTAGGTATTGTATTTACATTGTCTGACTTATATTTATAGTAGAGTTTTTATTTAATAAATCGGAAAAATTTGTATTTCATGGTATAGCATTTACTTTAAAGAAAACTATCATCTTACTATCCTTCACAGCTAACCCACTTCGGTCTCTGGTGAGCTAACTTTTTGCTGTGACTGTGTGTATTAAACAACCATATAGACAGTCGCATTCCCATCAGCATTATTGTCCCATTAGACATCTGCTCAGACGGGGATACCCTACAACCCTCCAACACCCCTCTCTCTTCCCTATCAAGCCTCAACGACCAGCATTTATTTAGCTAAAATAGTAGAGTGCTTTTTTTTGTTTTTTATATGCCTACTGCTGCTGCTTTTTATCGTCGTTTGGAGCTCTCCTGGCTCGTTGTTGTGGTTCTATCATTCTGTGTTTTTGTTTTTTCTGTCTAGCTGAATCTGTTTGTTTGCCCTAGGGCGCGGTGGGTGGTGGTTGTGGGGTTAGGTGTGGCACCACTTGAGGTTTGTCGGCTCGGTGGCTCAACTGCCAGACCCTCGCTTTTTCGAATTTGCTGCCTCTCTTATTAGCTGACATTATGTCGGATATATTTGCGTTGGAGGCGTGGGCGTGAGTTGCTTCTCTTCTCCTCGCGATTTCTCACTCGTTGTTGCTGGTTTCTGTGTTTGCTCCATTGTTCTTGTTCTTGTTCTTGTTAACCCAGCCAGCCAAAAAAAAAAAATGAAGAATTAAAAAGTTTTATACATGCCAAATTACGTCATGGCTGTTGATCTTTTTTCGCCATTCACTGAAATTAGCAGCTCTGTTGATGTTTTTTGCTGGTTTTTTGTGCATTATATTTTGTATTTTGCATAGTGTTTGTGTGGCATTAGGTCAGGAATTCATGCCACTATTCGTTATTTTGGATGTCTTCCAAGAGATCGGAAACGGATTTTTAAAATTGAGCGAATTCCTAAGAAAGTCTAAGATTACAATACAACGAAGTTTTTGCTGATAGGGTTAGACTTAAGCTTGACTTTTTGAGTGTCATTGAAAGAAATGTACGGAAATTAAATGTTATCATTTTTTTTACAAAATGTTATTTGGAAGAACAAAAATAGAATTAAAGTTCGTTCAAGCTTTTAGATATCAAAAATGTTTTTGTAAGACATTTCTTTAATTATTTTTGTCAATTGTGACTAAGTTTCAAAGAAGCAATAATGTTTAAAGTGAAAAAATTTCGACACTCTAGCGTATACCCTTTATATCCGGGGAACTCATCGCCTTATCTCTGAGTGCTCCTTTGTATTTGTAAATACATACAAGGGCGGCGCTATTCCAATAACAGTTTTTCGTGTTCCTCTTTCCGCCTCTTTCTTGTTTTTGTCTCTTCCTGGATCATCCTCGAGCACTTGCACTGGAATTCTTTCCTTATACTTTCTGTTTTCACTTTAAAGTTTATTTCGCAGTGGACTATTTGGAGGGTCAGTAAAATAAGTGATGAATTAGCAAAAAAAAAATGTGTTTCTTTCTCTCAGTGTTCAGCTCCAAACCGACAGAAAAGCTTCTCTAAGATTCTTTTTCGTGTTCCTCTTTCCGCCTTATTCCGTCGCCAACATAAATATATTTTGTTTTTGTCTCTTCCTGGATCATCCTCGAGCACTTGCACTGGAATTCTTTCCTTGTACTTTCTGTTTTCACTTTAAAGTTTATTTCGCAGTGGACTATTTGGACGGTCAGTAACATAAGTAATGAATTGGTTAGCAAAAAAAGTGTGTTTCTTTCTCTCAGTGTTCAACTGCAAACCGACAGAAAAGCTTCACTAAATATAGGTGCACCCTTTCCTTTAGTTAGTAAATGCTCTGCCGTAAGACGATTTTCAGCACCCCTGCTTAATATACTCATTCAACTATCTTCCTTAACAAATTTGAATTAAGTTTGTCATGGTCTACCGCCATTATCCTTAACATTCTGGTTGCTCATCTAGCTTAGTTTCTGCTCCATTAGTTCAAAGCGTATTCGAATAAATGCCACATTATGTGCCATTGAATGCCAATTACACATTTGTCCATAAACGAACTGTTCCGTGACCCCGCCCGCCGTCTCCTCCCCGATTTGCTCCTTAAAGCTCAAGCTGGGTGGCCACTCCTCGCTTCTTTCGCAACTGGAAAATGTGAAAAGCGGAAAAGGAAAATTGAAACTAACCCAACCCAAGCCAGGATAGCGTGCGACTACCTACTGCCACGCCCACTTCTTAGCACGGACTGAATTTTATTTGTTTTGGTTTTTTTTATTTTGCCAGCGTTAATTAAAAGTGTGTCAATGTTTATATCCGTGAATTAGTTTCGGGATTTTCTAGGGTCCGCTTAATTAAGGACTATTAAACTTTAAGCCTTAAAGCGGCAGCAACAGGCTCCCTGAAAGTTTAGTTCTCAACGAAATTTAACTCTAATTTGTTTCCTTACAACTTCCAGCTGCTCTGCGACGCTTGTGGCAACGAATTGCACTCAAAGCTGAGGCTTTTATGAATGCTACTGGGTCGAAGTCGGAGTCTGAGTCCGGATACGCATCTGGAGGAGAACGGAGGCGCAAGCATCCAGCAAAATGGTCTTCAGTTATGCCTGCATGGTGCTCCAGCGCATCGTGGTGCCAGCGGTCCTGGTACTCGGTAAGTAAAAGGAAGACTTCTGGGAAGAATATTTATTCATTTTTTAAATGGTAACTAAAAATTTATCTACTTTCCTAAACTGGTAGCTGCCCTGATACGACCGGTAGGCATATCCTTTGTGTACCTGCTTATGTTCTTTGTGTCGCCCTTTGTGCCTCTGGCCACGCGTCGCAACTTCAAAGGATCTGTGACTGCCTTCTTCATCATCCTGCTAACACTGAGCACGTTGGTCCTCTTGGGTCACATAACGCTCCAGATTCTGGCAGTCAGCCTCACGCTGCCGATCTACAACTGCTCGTTCAGTGAGCGCCTCTTGCGACACATAGGCTTCGTGAGCTTTATCGATCTACAGTGGGTATTTTGGAAGTCATAAAGTAGCCATTTAATACATGTTTTTTTTTTTACTTTTTATAGGCCATTCGCCATAATTGAATGGCTGGTGCCAGAGGTTTTGGTCTTCGCCACCTCTCTGGGATCATATCTCACTGTAAAGCGAGTAGCCTCTCAGCCCGTTGGTGCAGAGCAGCTGGAGAATGGCGAAGTGCTCGATGGGCAGATGGAAAATGCCCAGTCTTCTCAGCCTCCTGCTACAGATGCCAATGGTGGGGATGTGCAACAGGCCACGGCCACCACGCCACTGCAGCAGCAGCAACAGCAGCTCAGGAAGCGCGTCTCCATGATCAGCCAGCATATCCACTTCGAGGGATTGATTAAGATCTGTAAGTGGATGTTATGGTGTGGCACCGAACATTAAAAGTTGGTTTGCCAGACAACTCTTTAGCTTTTTGAATAAAAAATTTTAAATTTATAACTTAAGTCAAGTAAAATTAAGTGTTAATCTAGGTATTTATCAAGAATTAGTTAGAAAATGAAAAGTAGTTCTTAGACTATCACCACAGAGATTTCCTGAAGACATCTGAGTGAGATAAATTTCAATCAAAATTAATGAATCGTTTCCATCGACAGCTCCTCTGTTCTGCCTGGCCACGCTGTTCTTTGCGGCCGTGCTGCGTCCCTCGGTGCCAGGTGGATTCTACTTTCTCATTTTCCTGCTGGCCGGCTCTTACTGGGCAACCTGCCAGACGCTGCAACGGTGCGTGTCCCATCAGCGCCATCAATTCCGGAAACATTTCTGACTTTCTCTTTGTATTTTCGCACCTTTTTGTTCTGCAGGGGCTTCGCGTTATTGCTGCGCTGCGTGATGGTCGTTCTCGGGCTGCACTCCCTGTCCATTGTTTCCTATCAGACACCCTGGATGCAGAGCCACCTCAATCATACCACCCTGACAGCTCGGTAAGTTGAGGACGGTGGCCTTGCTAGTGCAATCATCTGACTTTCACCCAACTCTACCATCTCTCAGTTTGATTGGACTGGAACCGCTTATTGAATCCTACTGTTCGCCGGATATACGAGTCGTTCTGTATAATAATAAGCTGTCTCTGGACTCGTACCTCAAATCCTTTTGCGTTGTTTTTCGCCTACTTCGCACTGGCCCTGACCACGAAGCATCTCATTAAGCCAAGGGTAAGTCTTAACTCATGAGTGGCTTTAAGTCCTTTGTTCGATCAGCTTTTACTCTGGTTTAATCTGGTTTAGAACAACTAATACGGATTACTTATCAAAATTTTCAAAACATTAATGAATAAGACTGAAAGCTAGTTTGATTAAAAGAAATAATATTATTTATCAAAGGTAAAAGTAGAGACTAAAATGATAAGTTATATTAACTATACAACATAATAAGTTAAATGGCTTTCATTCTTATTGAAAAAGCAAGCCAATATCTTGGGAACATAGTTTTACCTGCTCTCAATTTCTGCTCTCTTCTGCTGCCATTCCTGCATCCGGATAAACCACTTCAATTTCAAACTTTCTAACACAACAAACTCTGCACGCCCACAAAAAACCAAAACCAAAAATAAATAAACATGTAAAACACTTCTAACACCTAACAACAAATCGTCACTAACACGCCACACTCCGAACACCTGAAACCATGAACACCGGATCACTGAACCACCTGGGCACCGGCTCATAGCTGGAATCGAAGCCCGCCACCGCATTTGGCCAGCAGCTAGATTGCAATAGCAGCAGCATCAACAACACCGGCAACAAGGTCAACCGCCAGCTATCGCTGCTCACCTCGCAGACATCGCGCGGCCGTCGGGATGGGTCCAATCCTGGCGGAGGTGGCACCACCACTATCACCACCACAACCACCACCACCTCGGCCGCAATCCGCAATCAGCGCTTGAGTGTAAGCGAGCGAGTGGATTGAGATTGGGGATTTTATTTTTTCGATCTGTGTTCAGCGTGTGAATGTTGAATATTTTCCGGCATTTCGGGTGCACAAAGAAAATTGAATAGGTGTATTAGAACCAAGGGAGAAAAGCCACAAAATTCCCAATAAGCCGGTTTATGTATATGACCGGAAAAGTATAATCCATTAATAAAACTGATGGGAAACTTATCTCGCATTGAACACTTTTATTTGCATTTTTAGTTTTCAGTTGCCTTTTCCGGCGGTTTTTTTAGCTTCAAAATTTGAAATTTGATATTCAGAAACCTATAAAACTTGGGGTTAAAGTAGTTACAAAATATTATTCAGATAGAACAGGTCATCAATGTATCAATGCAAACACTATACACGATTAGTGAACCCTAACTAAACCCCAAACTAAATGTTTGTCTGTGCTTTAAAGTCTAACCCCAAAAACTTTGCCCAAGTTGAGGCGATTTATGTGCGCTTTTGCTGAAATCTGACAACTTGTTTTGCGATATTTCTTGCCATTTTTCTTTTAGTACGTTTGTTGTTTTCTTTTGATTTTTGTTTATGCTCTCTCTTTTATTACTTCCGCTTTAGGTTTCTTTGCGCCGTGATCAGCGTGCAACGTTAAATGAACCGACTGAGACGACGCCTGTACGTAAACTAACTCCACTTTGCGCCAATACCTGTGTATCTTTCTCCCAGAATAACCATTAGACTAGCTTTAGCCTATCTCTTTCTATGCCTCTGTCTTTCTATGTATCATTTGGATTAAGCTTTCCTAACCCTCGTCATTTGTCGATGTAAAATTGTTCTTGTCTAACATCCCTAGCGATCTATAGTACTAACCGCCCCAGTAATTCCCTCAAATCATATGAAATCCTAATCAATAGTACTAAACTAAACATGATACTAAGCTCTTAAGTGTGACTGTATGTGTGTGTTTTGGGCTATAGAGCACCGCTAAAGCGATCCGACATAGTTTGCAACACTCACCCGGATAGTAACCAATCGACATCCAACACCCGTAGCTTGCCCTAGAACTCTAGAACTCTTTGTATGTACATATTTAAATTAGTAAGCTGAACTATCTCCTCTATGTCTGCGTGGGTAGTCTGAGTTCTAAGCTAATTAACCAGATAACTTTCTCTATAGTTGGTGCGTCAAAGCACGCGAAAGGCACGCACCCCTCAGCCAGTGGAAAGTGGATCCTCGGTGGCGCCCAGTGGAACTCAGCGAGGCAATGACATTCAGCTGGACTCAATGGAACAGAGGTCGGAGCAGGAAAACACCACTACATCCATACTGGATCAGATATCGTATGGATTTGTCAGCGTGGGAGGTTTCATCTATCAGAATAGTTATATATTCACCAATATTCTGATGATGGTAAGTGGATATAAGATAGTTTCCTAATAACAGATTATTAAACAAATGTCTTGGCAGGCCTGGTCCATTGTCTACCATAGTTGGCTGACTTTTGTCCTGCTACTCTGGGCCAATGTATTATGGATGATTCCCAACCAAAGGAAGGCCATGATGCGGTCTAGTCCGTTCATAGTCTTATATGCCGAGGCACTCCTGATTGCCCAGTATATTTATGGCATGGATCTAAACAACGAAGAACTGCCGACAAGCGTTCCTGTAAGATTGCGACACATACATCAATCATGAATTTAAATTAATTAAGTTAAGTATTTGCAGACTGCGGGCATTAACCTGCAGCAAATTGGCTTCGAAAGACCCATTGAGAACCAAATGCGTCCATGTGTGCCGCTGATCGTAAAGACAGCCTTCGTACTGATGTTTTGGGTGACATCACGGCAGTTCTTTAAAGAGAAGCGCGATCGCCGAAGGGATAGCACCCTGGCGGACATAATTGCGCCACTGCAGATTACCGTGGGATCGGCTGGCTCCAGCTACCTCATCAACGACGGCAAGAAGACCTCAAAGTTCCTAAAAAAGGCCGGCGATGTGATCAAGAATCTACTAGTGCGCCTGTGGATCTGGCTACTTGTGCTGGTTATCTTCCTGTGTGCGATCACCGGCGAGAATATGACCGGCTTTCGCATCTGCTACATGGCTTTGTTCCTATTCTTCTTGCTGGTCTTTCAATCGTCGTCCAAGGCCTGGGTTAAGATCATGTACGGCTTTTGGCTGTTCCTGATCTTCTACGCCATGTCCATACTCATATTGATCTATACATATCAGTTCGATAAGTTTGATAAGTATTGGAGGGACTATCTAAATGTGTCCGAAACGCTGTAAGTAAAACTAAGAATTAATAACTTGTATGATTTTCTTACAGTTAACTTAATTCTTGATTTTTAGGCAAAAGGATATTGGTCTTAAGCGTTACCAGACCAAGGATCTCTTTCTCCATTTGGTTTCGCCGACTATAATCGTGATCCTGACCGTAATCCAAGTGCACTACTTCCACAAGCGGTTTATTGCCTCATTACAACAGCAGCCATCGGCTGGCGGATCGGCACAGCAGAAACCCACAGAGACAACTGCATTGGAACCAGCGCCATCGAAGCGTCGGGGCAGCGCCGGTTCACTGCGACGTTCGCAGGGTCCATCGGGTGAGGCTGCTCCCGGAGCCACCACTGATTTTGAGACATCTGTGCGAGATTTGGTGCGCATTTCGTTCCGCAAGATTAAGAACAAGTCGGAGTATATATTCAAGAACTTCAAGGACGTCTTCTGGCGCTTCCTGGAGCTGCACATCATGAAGGCTGTGTATATCGCAGCCTTCGTGTGCAGCGTCAGCGAAGTCTGTGTTCTGCATATTGCCTTCGTGGGCTTCTGTGTGCTGGGCGCCACCTCGCGCAAGGCCGTCCAGGTGGTGATCAGCCGCCTCATCTCTTTCATTGTCACCATCATAGTGCTGTCGAAAATGATCTACCAGATCGAGTATTTGAGTCACTCGCAGCATAACGTAGTTTGTGTAAGTTAATCTGTAACTGTAAACTGTATTATCTTTAATTAAATTTTTAATTATATTTTACAGTCTGACAATGTGACTGCCAACAATGCCGAGTGGATTGGCCTTACCAAGGCCGATAAGGTTACAGGCGGACTGATGAGCCTGCTGCGGACCTACATCATCTATATGGTTATTGTGACCATGCATGCTGTGATCACTTTGCGACAGCTCCAAATGCGCGTGAAGATCGGAGCCTTGAACGCACCACCCACCAAGCTGCTCTTCCCCAATATCATTCGGGCAGATGCTGAGAAGGACCTGGTCGGACTAGTAAAGTATCTCCTCAACTTTGGCTTCTACAAATTTGGCATAGAGATTTCGCTGATCGCCTTGGTCTCCACCATCACATATCGTCAAGACATAGTGGCCGTGGCCTATGCTCTGTGGCTGGTTGTGCTCCTGCTCCTCAGGAGATCTCAATGCGCCAAGATCTGGGGCGTGTTCCAGGCTTTCTTTGCCATCTCCATATTGACACAGTACATAGTGCTGGTTGGATTACCGCCGAGCTCATGTCTGGGTAAGATTTGAGTCAATTAATTTAATTTAACTTCATTAACTTTGTTGTTCCATCTTGCAGTTTATCCCTGGGATCAGGGACCCTTTGGCGAGGGCATTCAACGCTGGACGATGCTGCCGGGAGCACTACACCTCAACCACGTACCCAAGTTGATCTTTGACTTTATAGTCTTGATCATCTTGAACCGTCAAAAGAGTATCTTCTGCATCGAACAGCGTTATGCCAGTAACGACGACTATCCAGGTGGCAGCAACCGCAGTGTAATCGCGGATATTGCGCAGCTAGGTCGCGTTCCCTTCGACAATCCCACCCACGACTTTTGCTCGTACATACGCAACTACTCGGATATCCTGAAGAACGGAGTTCTGTGCGGTTTCTACTGGTTCACCCTGGCAGTGGTTTTCCTTGCTGGCACCAATATCGCGGATCTTCTGGCTCTGGGTTATCTAATTGGAGCGTTCATCTTCCTGTGGCAGGGATCTGATTTCTATCTGCGACCCATACACACCATCATCTTTAGATGGAAGTGGCTGTTGGCATTCAATGTGACCAATATACTCATCAAGACGACCTTCCAGATGGCCGGCTGTCTTTTCATGACACAATTGACTAAAGACTGCTGCTGGCTGGTGCACATGCTGGGCATCACCTGCACGAGTAATGCACCCAAGGAGCAAATAATACTCCCCGAAGACACTGTTTTGGTGTTACAACCAGGAGAGTGTCCCAAGATCACCCACCAGGTGGTTCTGTTGTGGGACACTATCTGCTTCGCCTTTATCATCTTCCAGCTTCGCATCTTTAAGTCGCACTACTTCTGTCACATCATCACGGACACCAAGGCGAACAATATCCTAGCCTCAAGGTTGGTTTTTTTTAAGTTTTTTCTGACCAATTTTCTAACAATTTATTTTTATCACAGAGGAGCCGACATCATTGAAAGCCTACGGCATAAACAGATTGCCCATCGTCACGACCATGAGAAACAGGTGCTGCACAAGATCAAACGGAAAATGGAGCGCATCCGAGCCACGCAGCAGAAGATGCTGCGGCCCTTGGACAAACAAACCCACTTCGATGGTAAGTTGTTATGCAATCTCCTTCAGGGGCTTTTTTCTCCCCCTCTACGGACATTTTTTGGCGATTGTACTTCTTGTCGCGAATTTTGCAATTTTCGTTTTTGTATTTTGATCGTTGGAAATTGTCGCGCGTGTGTCAAACATTAACCTTTCGGATTCCTAAAGGGCAACGCACGCCCACAGAGCAGGCCATGTCCGAGTCGGTGCCTTTGGCCCATAACAACAGCTTCACCTCTTGCCAGGGGTCTGGCTATCTGACTCCCGATGAGCATAGCTCCGAAAGCTCGGCAACCTCTTCGCCAGCGAGGGCTTCGATCCTCTCTAGCAGTAGTAGTAGTGTGGAAAGCGTGGATAGTGCAGATGCTGCTGTGATCATCGAACCCGAGATCAACGTTATGCCTTGTGAGGAGATCGCAGATTATGTGGATGTGCATTCGATTAGTGAGGAAGAGGCAACGGTGGCAGTTCCCAAGAAGCTATTGGTTCCTTTGACCAAATCTATGGAATCTCAAGCTTCTTCGAAGCCAACCACCCCGAGTACAGATGCCTTGTCCACTCTCCTTACCGAGGGATTTTTGGAACCGAAGAGAATCTCCTTGGGATTGGCTCCTTCTGAGCTTAGTGCTCCAGTTGGCATTCAAACCCTAGCCCCTCCGTTGGCTGCCTATGCAACAGCCATGGCCTCCAGTGCAGCCAGCTCCGTGCTGTCATCTAATCTGACTCCGAATCTTCGCCGTGAACATCGCCGCCAGTCTTCTACGAATGCCGCTGTATCCTGGAACGAAACCGTGTCCATCAAACGTTCACCCATGAAAAAGCAAATGGTAAAGTGGGAAAAGTCAGGGATGCAGACCGCTTAAAATTATGATTTAGTTCTGATTAACAAGTTTATCATAAAAAGCTTAAAAGTGGTTTGCATTCCTGGATGAAACCATCCTGCTCGATCACTCATATCTTCCATAAACTAAACAGTCGGCGGATAAGGAGGAGGTGGTGACCATGCGCCACAAGTCGTTGCATCGTCGTCACCAAAGCATGGGCAACGCTAGCTACTCCTTGGACGAAGCCTCCCAGTCGCAAACGCAACGCAAGCGCCTATCCAGCAATTTATCGGGAGTCAGGGACGAGACTGCTCTGCGGTCTGCCCAAAGACCGCATAGCTGGGGACCCGTGGGTACGGCCTCCCTATATGGAGTCGCTGATGTGCGCCTTCTACGAGCCCGCACTGCTGCATGGACCATGTATTGGATGAATCTTTACTCTCAATAATAATAATAATTTTGCTAATTTTAATAAAACTCTGTACAAAATAAACAACATGTCAATGTGCGTGCCCTTTAAGCTAATAAAACCGATTGGGGTCGTGTGTAGCAGACCCCAAGCAACTGCCTCCTTGAGTCTGACCTGTAAATATCACTAATTTAGATCAACTTTGCTCCCAATTACTTCTTTATTGGTGAATGAAGGCGCGATCAGAGATCCTGAGCGCTTCTACAAGTGTAATATAAATGTCTTCATCGATCTTGATGTGATTTCTAGAATCAATTTATTTTATCTCAGGGATTAACTTGTGTTGTAAATCAAAATTTTCAATCTGCATGGAGATTCTTTACAACTTTTCAAAATTTTCCTTAAAGCTTTTTATAATACATCTCTTTTCTTTCTTTAAAATGATATGGAATCTAGTTTTACAATATTTATTTTATTTACAAACTCGAAATGGTTCCCATTGCTATAAGCATATTGAATGCCTTGGGATCTCTCCAGAAAATACTTACAACATTTAAGACTTCGGCTAGAGCCGATGCTAGAGTTATTTCTATCTTAATTTCTATTGAAAGCAAACGCCTAAATTCCGTTTATTTTTATATATATTTTATTTTTGAATTTTTGTTTTTGTATTTGTATTTGATTATTTTTTAGAACATGGTTATCCACTTCCTGCACCAACAGTACGCAGAAGGAAGGAAATTAAATTACATCCACATGGTAAAGTTTTTGTTTGTTGTGCCTTATTTGTTCGATACTTAAGCTGACCCCATACCATGTATATAAACTCTTCCCGATTAACTGCATGAATTTCTGTGTGCTGCTCTGTAAATTGAATGCAAAAAGAAAAGCCTTCTCCTAGCAATTACTTACTTATCCCCTCTGAATGTTGTTTTCCACTTTATTTGTTCGAATTTTGATTAGAATTTGGTGTAATAATTTTATTTCAAATATTCCCCTATAGCCACACGTGCTGGTGACTACTACATGTTCGAGGAGATGGACGATAAATTTGAACTTGACTTGATACACGATGAGATTGATTTTCTGGAGGAGGAGAACATCACCGAGAGCGAGATGAAGATGCAGCGCCGCAAGACCCTCTACGATGTGAGTTATTAAATATTTTTGATTAATATTTCTCAGAGATCAGGCCATGCTGCATGCCATCCTCGTCCGCATGACTTTTGAAACGTATTTAAATTCTTGTAAATTCCCTCTAAAAAACAAAAACAAAAATCATAAATTGCCTTGACTTGTGATCGAAGGTGTGGAAGGATCTCAATGATGCCGAATACCGTCGCCACTTCTATATGCGTGAACGTTCCTATGCCTCAGAGCCGGGTTCTCGCATAGCTCTGAAGTTGGACGACGAGAAGGATAAGGTTGGCCACGATCTGGGCCTAGCCACCGACGACGATGAGGATGACGACACCATTGAGTGCGATCTGGGCATGCGCACCTCTACACTGTCCGAACCGCTTGATTTCGGTCGTCGCAGCCAGACGCTGCTCGAGGTTGTGAGTCTGAGGATCAGAGTTTTCTACATATCTTGTCTTTAATTGGCGCACTTCCCGTTGATTTCACTTATTTTGGTCACCAGCTCAAGTTTTTCAACTGCGCTCGCAATATCAAGCTGCCGACCAGCAGTTGGGCGCACTCACCTTCTAAATATTGTACAAAAATATCTTTGAACTACAAATGATTTTTCGTATCTGCATATTGTATAAATGAGCTTGGTTTTTAAAATCGTGTAAATGTTTCTCATTCGTCTCAACCAGCTCGAAATGATCTAACTTTTTGATGTTTTTTGCATCCACAGAAGTCGAAGGATGCTCCCACTGGCGATTTCCCCTCCACCAGCAAGGGCATATCTAAGGAACGGGATGCGGCAACGGCTTCTAATTCTGCTAGTCCAGCGCCCACTAGAGATGTGGGTGATCTGCCAGTGATACCACCACCTTCCTCTGGACTGGGACGTGAGGCCACCTCAAAGGAAACTTCCGATAGCAAGTCCAAAATGGAGGTCGATAGCGGCGAAGTGACGGCCAAGGATTCGGATGAGGACTTCGATACCAATCCTATTATCAGACTTCTCGAGGGCTTCTTGGTCACGCTGACCATAAGACTGAACCGCTTCTCGCGTAACTATCGCTTTGTGAACCGCATTCTGGCCGGCGAGAAGAAGACCCTCAAGGTGGGTTCTAGAATCTCTTCAATAAATTTACATCCAATTCTAATTTCATTTTTTTATTGCAGGAATCAAGCTCGTTGAATCGCCTGGGGCTGTCCAGTGCCGCTGCCATGTTCCACTTCCTGAAGTCCAATCTCGAGAGGTATTTAGAAAGCCACTCTGGAATTCAGGTCCAGTGTGCGCCGCTTGCGTTGAGTTTTGAATTAAGTTTTGATTTTTGGAAACTGGAAACCCGAGCGTCCCTAGAGTAGCGTGTTCTGGTCGCGTTACAAAATGTTGATTTTATTTGTACTTTACGTTCATTTAGAATTGTGTTCAATTTCGATTTTGATTCAATATTTATTTGATATTCTTTTTCTTCTTTTTTATTTGCATATCCGTTTTACTTTTGTGTTCCGTGTGTTTGAAACTCTGTACCTGCTTCCACAACATACTACTACTACTCTCGAATCGAAACAACACACCTGCAACAATATCTCACCACCTCACCTCCATCATTTGTGCCACCATGTTGTTGTTGTTGTTCTTGATACCCGATCGATGTTGCTGTTGGTGCTGTTAAAGCGATGAAAGTAATCCGCCAGCCTCCTCATCAACCCCGCGGCGGGTGGTCATCGTACCACCAGCGAATGCCAACGAGCACTCTGACCCCACCAGCACCACACTGAACACGAACACGACAACCACACCGCTATCACCACCCGAAACACTGCAACCACCAATTACAACCAGTACACCGCAGCAACAGCATCAGCATAATCGCGATGCCGACGAAATCATCGAACTGCCTGTAGATACCGTTGATGGAGTCACCTATAGGTAACCCAAACCACCCGAAATCATTTGTTTTAGTACAGGGACTCCAAAGGGATTAGAGATTCCATCTTCAAATCCCATAGATTAGATCCAAAACCAAATGCCTTCATTCGAAAATTAATTTTAAGATGAAAAGAAATTGATTTAACTGCACTCTAAATATAAAATGGATGCTGATTAATACAATTTTTAGACAACAAATTATAAATTATTCCAGTTTCTCTCATGTGCACCGCACCTTTTTAACATTGCCCTAATTTAAAAAAAAATATTAGAACAAAATTAATTTGTCCCGATTTTATTTGATTAGAGCTAAATAATGTTATGTGTATATCAAAAAACAAAATCCACAATGAACAAAAAACAGATCCTTACTAATTTATTTTTCTTACATTTTACATTCTTCTGCGTGCATTTCGATCATCCGAAAAATTTATGTTTTGTTAGAAAACATTCAATCAATTCATCGCCGCCAGCAAAGGGGTAAGTAGATCGAACCATACTATCAATCTAAGACTAAATCGAGATCAGTAAAAGTCAACTAACAACACGAGACATAACCATGTTATATGTCTTTTTAAGACTCTCTACTAAGATCTCCTAATACTTGAGCAATTTTCTCTATATGTATGTAAACCTCATCTCTACTGCATTGTGACACCAATTTCCATTTCACTTTCCATTCCATTCCTGTCGCCCCCGCCCTCCATCCATGCGTTGTGACATATATAAAAATCGTATATATAGCACGATGCTCAGTCGAAAATCGGACTGTGGCCTGCCTGAGATTCGCATTAAAGCGCCATCTGTCGAGCGCGGTTATTATCATAATCACCACAGCGGCGGTGGCTCAGGATCGTTGAGCAAGCACTGGTCCTACGAACAAGTGGACAGGTACTGGTCCCGCCCACTAACTATGCGTATAGCTCACTATCCCCCTAGCCTATTGATGTGCCTATTAATGTGTTGGTATCTTTCGGTTTGTGTTCGTAACGCTCTATAACTCTTTTTAAAAAGGTGGGTCGATTTTATGAAAAAACAATTCCTGGAGGATGCTTAACCTATAGATATTTATGCAATATTTGTATAAAGTTATTATGGATAAAGATTTACAAAATATGTTAACCAAAGATAGAAAGAAAATTGCAATTTAAATGATAATTTGATATCTAAATTCAAACTTGTATAATATCTCTCAAGAGTTGGACATATCCCCAGAATATTGAATTATAAATCGACCCAACATACTCTATATCTATGTATCTTTCAAGCTCATGCCCATCCTCATGATCATGATCACGGTCACGGTTGATCCTCATGACTACTAAACCATCTATCACGACTCTCTGTCTCTCCCCTCTGTATCTTTTGGTAACTGTAACTGCATCTTTTTCTGTATTTGTATCTGTATTTCTGCCTCTCCACTAAGTTGTATTCGCTGCTATGATTTAAACCTATCTCTATGCGTTCTTTGCTAGTATGTACCTTTGTCTGGCTTCGATTAACCCTAGTTTAAACCTAGTTTTGTGTTCCACCCAAGTTCCACACAATGCACTAGCATGTAGACTGTGGAGCATGCAGCGCACACATTCCTAAAAAGAACAGCACCTGGCATGTCAAGTTGATAGATTCCACGAACCTGTGCAAATGCTATTCTTGATCTAATATTATTATGATGATCTTCCAGCGCGGGTGAATTCAACTTGGAGGAAGAGAACTTCGCTCAACGAGATCATCATATCATTGTGGAAGTGCTAATCTCCTCGTGGTACGCCTTGTTGGCCAATACAGATCTCATCTGTTACATTGTTGTGTTCATCAATCAGGTAAAATACTAGATTATTTTCCAGTGATATCTAACTTAATTTCCATTTTATTTTATAGGTGGTCAATGCCAGTCTCATCTCGCTGCCCCTGCCCATTATGGTGTTTTTATGGGGAACCTTGTCTCTGCCACGTCCAACGAAAACCTTCTGGGTCACCCTGATTGCATACACCCAGGCTATCGTGCTGATCAAGTGCATATTCCAGTTCAAGCTGATCTGGTCAAATTACCACCAACTACCCAACCAACCTCTGGCACCTGCTAAGATCTTTGGGGTGGAGAACAAGGCCCACTATGCGATTTATGACCTGATCTTGCTGTTGGTCTTATTCCTACATCGCTATTTGCTTAAATCGCAGGGTCTGTGGAAATCGGGCTACAAGGATACGGATAACCAGTTTACCAAACCCACCGCTAGCATGTAAGTTAAAGGGAGTAGAAAAATTAATTTTACTTTGACTAACATGTATCCTGTCTTAGTGATGAACGCGATGATAGTGACAATCTATCGCAGCCGGATTCCCGCCAACTAAATGATGATGCTGCTCAAAAGTTAAGCCTTCAAGTGAGTCAGGCTTCTTTGCCAGGATCACCGGAGTTTAGCAAGACCGGTATTAATCAGTTAGAGTAAGTGTCGAGCTAGGCAACAAAGAAATCTTTAACTATAATATTCCTTTTCATTTCAGGCGGACCAAGTACACTTCTTCGCTGTACAAGTTCTTCTTTAGTCTGGTTCACAAATCCCGCCTAGCCACAGATGTTTATGCCCTGATGTTCCTCTGCGATTTTGTGAACTTCTTTGTGCTACTTTTTGGTTTCACTGCCTTTGGAGTGCGTAAAACTAAACGAATTGTACAGTCTCTAGATACTAACTGCAATTTATTTCCTGTTCTTAGACCCAACAAACGGAAAGCGATGAAGGTGTCCAGACTTATCTGGCGGAGAATAAAGTGCCCATACCTTTCCTGATCATGTTACTGGTCCAGTTCCTGCTCATCGTTATAGACCGAGCTTTGTACCTGCGCAAGGCCCTGGTGAACAAGATCATCTTCCACTTCTTCTCGGTGATTGGAATACACATCTGGATGTTCTTTGTGGTGCCAGCTGTAACGGAGCGTACTTTCAATTCCCTGGCACCGCCAATCATTTTCTACGTTATCAAGTGCTTTTATATGCTGCTGAGTTCATATCAAATCAAATCCGGTTACCCCAAACGCATTCTGGGCAACTTCTTCACCAAGGGATTCTCGATGGTCAACATGATCGCTTTTAAGGTCTACATGCAGATTCCTTTCCTGTACGAGCTACGAACAATTTTGGATTGGGTGTGCATCGATAGCACAATGACAATTTTTGACTGGCTTAAGATGGAAGACATTTTCTCGAATATCTATCTGATCCGGTGCACCAGACAGTCGGAGACTGATTTTCCGGCCATGAGAGCTCAGAAGAAGGCCTCTCTTTCCAAGCTCATCATGGGTGGCACTGTTGTCCTGTTGATTGTGATTTGCATTTGGGGACCACTGTGCCTATTTGCCCTCGGTAACGCGGTGGGTACCTCAAATGTTCCCTTCCAGGTGTCACTGTCGATCCGAATTGGACCCTATGATCCCATCTACACAACGAATAACTATGATAGCATCTTCGAGATTAAGCCTGAGATGTACTCTCAGATGACTAACGCATATATTAAAGAGAAACAGGCTTTAACGTTTATTACTGGCTATGATGCAACGGACGTGGCGGCGGTTAGACTAGCTGGAAACTCGCCGTCTCTTTGGAATATAGCACCGCCGGATAGGCAGCGGTTGTTAAACGATTTGAGAAACAGTAAGAAATTCGTTTGATATCTAAACATTTTTGATAAAACTTTTTTATTTAAATATTTTAGATCACACACTGAAGGCGCGCTTCTCCTATTCCCTCACGCGAAAGGCTCCTGCCAAGGGATTAAAGGAAAATGTGGGCGATGAGCATGCAATTTCCCTGGACGAATCCTTCGAGGGACGAGCAGCACTTATTCATATGCTTAGCGAGACGCATGATGTTGAGCCAATTCATAGTAATACAACAACCAATGGAACTGTTCCTGAAATTGAAGAAGTTGTAGTACTTCCCGCCATGATACCTAAGTTTATAAAGGTTCTGAATTCGGGAGACGCTGCTGTGGTTAGTGTTTTAAGCGAAAAACACCACGAATACCGACCGTTAGTTATCAAAATGCATCGGGACAGCGAGACCAATGGGTTATGGTGGGAGATAAGAGACTACTGCAACGACACCTTCTACAACGAAACACTGTCCAAGTTTGCCTACAGCAACTGCACTTCCGGAATCGTGATGTACACATTCAACGACAAAAAGTTCCCATCGACTTTCAGTTTCCTCACAGCGGGAGGGTGAGTGGGCAGAACATCCACTAGAAACCAAATTTTAAATTTTAATATCTATTCTTATAGCATCATTGGTTTGTACACCACCTTCGTGTTATTGGCCTCGCGATTCATGAAGTCCTTCATTGGCGGGCAAAACAGAAAGATAATGTTTGAGGATCTGCCTTACGTGGATAGAGTGCTGCAACTCTGTTTGGATATATATTTGGTAGTTAAAATATCCAAGATACTGAATCAAACTGTTACTAATGTCGCTATTCTTTTTTGTAGGTACGCGAAGCTCTAGAATTCGCACTGGAAGAAGATCTGTTTGCGAAATTACTCTTCCTGTACCGATCGCCCGAGACGCTAATCAAGTGGACACGTCCCAAGGAGGAGTACGTGGACGATGACGGCGACACCGACTCGATTCCCAGTCGAATGAGTGTACGCCGGCCCGAGCAGCTGCAACCGCAGCCACCACAATAACATAGGCCTAACCCAAATGCTTAAGTAATGTAGAGTTGGTTTACGTATTTAGTACGTATATTGTGTTAATGTAGGTTTCATAGTCTTTTTTAAACCTTTTTATATGAAGGAAGAGAACACAAATCAAAACACAAAAGTACACATCACCCATTTATACAGTCGTTCGATTTTTTGTCAAAAGTACTGCCCTGTGTATTTAGTCATAAGCCTAAGTAAGCGAAAAGTGTTGCTGTTTGTTAGTTTAAACAAATGAAGAAACTAGTGAATTGTAATTGCCTAAACAAGCTAATGATTTGTTTAAGTTATTTTCTAAAGTGTAAAAAAGGAAGATCAAGTGCGGAAATACTAATAATAATGATGAAAACTCATATTCAGGGAATTTAGCATTTTACAGAAACCGTATATATAATATAATACAAACCTAAAGCATCCGAATTATTAAGTAAAAATAATTATAGCGCCTAGAAAATTAATGTTTTATATTTATACGAAAAAATGATCATGTAATATTACCAATTTGCTTCGAATCGCATACAGCTCTATGCTATTTGCCTATTTGTGCCCTTTACAAAACTGATTAAAGATATTACGTATATGTTATAATGTTTGTTATAAAACTAAATCGATATATGTTGCATATATATAGAGCGTTGACTTTAGTTATAGGCATATCACATGACATATTTTTGTATTGAATGCAAATATCATTTGCTTGATCGACTACTTTCTAGGCGAATTCATATCAAAAATCAAGATTTATAATGATGTAGTGCGTTGGCTTTAAATGAAAATTGATCAACTACACAATATCTCCCATATGCAATCTCTTAATATTAGTAAAACGCCAACTAACTCTGTATGTTCTATTTTATATGTAGCGAAACGAACTAAAATTGATAAATGTAAAAATTAATGAATTTTTGTACCAAGCGAAAAACTTAAAACGTAATTATAATATGTATCTATTTTTTTAGTGTTTAATTTCCAAAATAAGCTTAACAACTACGTGGAATAATTACGAAATAAAATAAAGAATCGAATTTGATTGTAATAACGAAATGGATTTATATTTGGATCCTATTTATTTTTAATCATCGTTGAATTAAACCCAATTAAGCATCCAATATAACACTACAAATTCGAGGGGTATTTCTTGTTTATTTTATTTTTAACACAGATAAAAGTTTACAAATATTGCAAAGTACATAGATCGAATTAGTATCCCCGATTAGGGAATTCGCGTGGCACAATTTCTATAATGTGTGAACCGCAGCTCGCTGTCCTCACTTGTGGCACTTTCCCTACTCTCCTGGCGGCTGAACTTCAGGCGGGATACACTTCCTCCCATTCCGATTCGCTGCGACTTAAGACTCCACGCCGTCGCGGAGTTGTAAAGGAGCTCTCCTGCTGCGTCCTATCGGTTGCAGCGGTCGCTGTCGGTGGCATCGGATTGTTCAGCATTTGAGTAACGCTCTTGGATAGGCGAATCGACTGTATACGGTTGTATCCACTGCCAGTTGGTTTGTAGCGCTCTAGCTTGGATGTGAGGCGGGCCATTTCAGAACTCATCCACTCGGGAGCGCGCATAATGTTCAACTGCGACGACTGCTGGTCAAGTAAACCGAGTGGGGAATCGAGCAAGAGCTTTTATAGGCAACTGTAGATGATATAAGTCGAGGCGCAAATCAATACGGCTTGCATTAAGCAAGGTTAGGGCTCATTTGCTTGGGTTTCCACCCCCAGTGCTATTGACCTATTAACTCATCAAACACTTGGACATGTAACACCTTCGGTTATTGCAACAAAATATACATAACATTTAATTAAGAACTAGGAGAACGGCGAGGGACACAAAGAGAGACAAGTTAAATAAGAATAACAGAATAAAATAGCTACAAAATTCGAGCTAGTGGTGGGTCAGTGCAACGAAGATATGCCAAACTGTGCTATGTACATAATCTAGTTTCAGGGTCCCTACGTTTAGGACACCTTGCAGTTGTCATCGTGCAAACGATCCCCATCGAGCTGAACATCCTCCTCGGTGGTTGAAAAGATGCCTCCCTGTAAAACCTTGTTGACCGCGGCGCGAGCCAAATAACCAGTGGTTTCCGAATATGGCAGCGAGTAGAAAGCCTTAAGATCCTCATTCTTGGTCTGTTGGGGTTGCGGCTGCGGTTGGTGCTGTATATTGTTATCCTTGCAATACATTGCAAAAGCTTCCGCTAAGATGCCGTCCAAGTCCAGAGCTTGTTTGAAGTGCAACTCGGGATTGCTAAAACATAACAACCATTTAGCAGTTGTATCTTTTATAAAAGATATAAATTTGTGTATATCTTACCGATTGAGAATGGTGGCCACAATGCAAAGAAGCTCCACGGTTATCTGTCGTCTTTCCGGACGGTCAATGCAAATCAGAGTTTCCTCGACCAGCAGATTAAATGTCAACTCGCCGCGACTCATATTCGTAAGAGTGGGCGTTGCTGGCAAGTGATGTCCCTGGGTCAAAATACCCTGAGGTGTTCGCTGGAGGATTTCCCAGATTTTGTTGTAGAAATGTTTTGGCACGCGGCACAAGCAACCCTCGAGTTGACGACGTTGCAAAGTGGTAAGCCTATTTAAGATAAGTTGTATATTAATATATGATACGTAATCTAAGCTTCTTAAACCAGTCACTCACTTTTCCTCCACAGCCCACTCACTGACAGTTAGAACTTTTTGAAGAAGTATCCGCACTTGGAACGGTGAGAGATTGTCCACATCGATACTCTGTTGACCTGAGATTTGCAAATAGATTCGCATGGCCTCCAGTACCCAACCAATCCGAATTTTCAATATACCACGGAACATCGATGGATTTGTCGCTATTAAGCGGCCACAATACAGAACAACTTCCTGTTGCAGCACAGCTTGGATGACGTCGTAGGGTTGGACACTCGTGTACATTACGTTTTGAATCTCCGCCGGCGTCATAGGCTTGTCGAACACCGTCTCTTTCTGGCCAATTATGCCCACTGTGAGTTCTTTGCCATTTACCAGCACAGTGGTGATAAATGGACTGATGGAGTCGACGATGTGGTGGAGAAGAGAAGAGCAGTATCGCACGGCACGCCAGTAGCGCAAGGAACCAGCTCGGTGATAAAGCTGCGTTAAAGCTGTATTTACGTTCAAGCCATTCACCTCGAAGTGCGGTCCCTCTCGGTTGAGAATAATACCCCATAGTTGGCACAAACAGTATATGGAATCAGTGCTGCGCAGTGCATTAATGATATCCGGCGTCGGTTTAGTATCAAAATGCTGTAATTCAGTTTATAGAGTAAGACATGTGAATTTTTAGAATTCTTAAAATTAGTTTGCTTACCGCAACGGAAATCTTCTCCTCCACATAAGTCAGTGCTTTGGGTACATCTGTTAGTGATTGGTAGCCGATGTACTCATGGTTTATCTGAGAGAACGCATTTTCATTATCGGTCAGATCGCTTTGGTTCATAAAATCCAAATGCTCTATGCAGGAACTACTAATTAGATTTTGTAGACGACCGATGCGAACTTTCATGCCATCGCAGTAGCCCTTTTTGAGCATAGCTAATAGGTCAAGCATTTCCTTGAACTGAGGATCACGCATGTGCTCCTCTCGGATGAGCAGGCACACCGTAGGTCTGCCTGATAAACGCCAGTACTTGCCGACAAACTGAAGCTCCGTCTTTATGTCATCGATTAGGAGTGCCATATCACGATAGAGATAAAAGTCGGATACCTCAAAAATCAGTGGATAGCAGAGAACGGTCATGCCGCAGATACGATAAACCTTGCTGGTGCCCAAGGATCCCACAGGTCTGGATGGACGACCAGACAAACCAACCTTGTTGTTGACTCCAAGATGTTGATACACTTTGATCAGCTCTGTGGAGCTCCAAATTTGCACAGGTTCAACCTGTAAGAGGACAAGTGATGAAATATGCTGTATATTGTCAATCAAATATGGAAACGAATAGTGGACTTACCTCATGTGGCGTCTGTGTTTGAATTCCATAGGTAGCCATCATGGCCTGCAGTCGCATGGACTCGGCAATCAGGACAATCTGCACCACAAGATCAGTGGCAGTGCCCTGTAAGGATTGCCGAAACATTATTACAAAATGTAACTATTTTTAGAAGGTGATTTAAACATGTTAGGATGCATGGGGCCAATTCAATATTCTTGGATTTTAATCACATTAAAAGAAAAATTTTGACTAGCCAGATGCCAAAATGCAAAAACACACAAAGGGGAATTAAAAGTGAGTAAAGGATAGGGGGAATACTAGCAAAGGAGTGAATAGGGCGTTGAGGGCTTTTAACATGCCAGACAGAGATTAAATGGCGAAATAGCAAAACATAATTTGGAAATAACTTACAAAAGAATTTGGAAAACATTTTAAAAACGTCTTGTTAATAAATTTTTAAAAGATTTTTAATACGTGATTAGGTGTCAATTTTTCGTGGTTACTATAAGAATTCCAATTTATATTATATCTGCCAATTTGTGTCCCTAAGTAAAATTAAGAAGACCCGGCCCAGGTCCAAAATTTTAACCACAAATTACCTTTTTGTCATCCAATATTATAGGTATGCGTGGTTTCTTTATGCGCAGTGTGGAATTTTTAGTAAAGGGGATTGGATATTTAGCAATGGCAATTAGTTATTAGTAAACATATTCTAAGGGCTCAAGCAAAGCTGCTGTCTTTTGGCAATTTATTTTCAAGCGCTGCCCCGAATAACATTTTTAATTAGAATGCTTAGCACATTGGGAAGTGTGATCTTTTTACTTTGATTATATTTTAAAGCCAATTCCCAGTGTTAACACCTTTTTAACAAAATTAGGCTAAAACAAGCTTGATTGAACTACAAAGGCCTTTTGGTTAATTACATGAATTAGGAACTGCAAACTACGTAAATAAACCCAAACGTCTCGCGACAAATTACTTACAGTGCCCGGTTTAGCCTATAGAGCGTGTGTGTTTATGTTGATTTTTAAACAAAATATGCAGTATATTGATAGGTATATAGAGAGGAAAGGAAACCGAAAAGAGTAAAGAGAAAACTTTTGATTTAGATACCAAAAAGAAATTTGTTCGCTATATACAAATAAAACGGGAATACAGAAATAAAAATTCATACTGAAAATAAGCAAATAATCATTTCTATAGTGTACGAGTATGTGTGTGTTTTGATCGTTAAGTGTGTCATAGTTATATCTTTTCGATCAGTGTATCTTGCCGAACATGAAAAAGCCACAATAAGTTAACTAAGTGATCTTTGGTGCGAATGTGTCTGTGGTCTAAAAAGCATAATTTAGTTTGTACACATACGTATAATTTAGAGTCTAGATAATTTTGAATTTGGATATCAATAATTATTCTGATATAGCAGGACATCTACTTACTTTGTGTTTATCATCAATAGCTTTGCCCTGTTATTACGAAACCAATTATTATACAATTTGGGATTTGATTTTGTTCATTTTTGATATATAGATGTGTGGTAGCGGTAGTATGTGGTAGTGGTTGGTAGTAGAGAATGAACAGAATGTAGATAGAATTAAATATCAAGAGCCAATTATTATCTTTACCCATACAAAGTACTTAGGTAACAGAAAAGAACTTATGTGTAAAATGTTCCAATTGGGAGCGAACGCAGACACACACGGCAGACACACAAAACTCATCAGCGGCAGCGGCGGCAAGCAGAAACTCCCAGAAAGGCAATTCTAAAACCCTTATAAACCAGACGCTATGAAATGTCTTTTCAACCAACTTACAATTAGTATTTTTTTTTTAGGAATTGGCGAACTTTTTGATCCTAACTTCAAGCTAGATTAATTTAATTAAATTTAAGTTATTTTGTCGTTTTTTTCATATTTAAGACATTATCTTCTAAGGTAAGAACTTTGTTTTCACCTTTGGATTTAAATCACTTCATAGCGTTTAATACCTCACATATACCCCGATTTCAACTTACCTGAAAAGCTGAATACCGACCGGCCCTTCTGGGACGATTGTAGCTGGGCAAGTAGCGGCGAATTGGATCCAATTCGTTGATGTGCAGAAGTCCTGCAGTCAGCAGCTGAGCAATGATGAAGAAGGACTGACCCCATAGAAAGAGTGACTGAGAAGGAGCACGCATATAAGAGCCATCTCCATCCGGCGCGTAGTACATTGTCACAACAGGATCTCCATTGACATCAGTGCGCAAACAGCGGCGCAGGTCGTTCTGGAACTCTTCGATCTGTTCATTATTGTTCTTGAAAACGCCATCGATAATCATGGCTATGAAAAAAAGCGGCCATTCACATTCCAAGCCTTCAAATTCTTTTAACTCCCCAGAGTGATAATAGCGACGGGATTTGTCCTCGTTTTTGCTGAGGAAACCATCGCGAGTGAAGCGTTTGAATCCCATTTTACAGCGCAAACGATTAACAACATTTTGTTTAGTCTGCTCAACCAGTCGGTCTTCATGCGAGGCAAATGCTGGGAAGGATAGGGTTAGGAGCAGTGAGGCATCCACTCCCTGAAAATCAAGATAAGCAAATTGGGAAAAAGATTACAAAATATATTATGGTGCTACCTTTGAGCTAGACTCCCTGGGCAGCATGGTTTCGAAAATACTGCGATTGCGGTTGTGGGCATCAATGTCGACATAGACAACGCTCCAGGACGCTCCTTTTTCGCCGAACAGGTTACATCCGTTAATGGCCTCCAAAGCAGACTTAGCCATCCCAATGGAGGAGGCATGGATCTCTGGTGTACCATTGTTATACTTAGAGCCGCGCTCCCACATGCCAAAGTCGGGAGTACGATAGGCGCGCTCCACATAGTATACCAGATTCTGGACAAAGGCCACCTCATCGTGGGTGTATATGATCTGCAGGCCAGAGGTTATCATCTGGACGAGGAACAGCAGATAGAGAGAAACCTAAGGAAGGAAGCCATTTTTATAAAATGTTGTTCGACAAGAAAACCTACTGCACTCACGCAATCGATCTGGAGATGATTGTAGAACTCATCTGGATAGATCTTTTCTCCGGTGTGAAGTTGGAACTTGCTGTGTAGGGCGTGCTGATTGGACTGACGCTGCTTAAAGAGTTCCACCCTAGATGCTTGCTTCACCCAGCACTCCAGTATTCCTCTCATGCACTTTACGGTGCTCTGTCCTAATTCGTAGGATTTACCCCGGTCGTCGTCAATCCGCCTGTATGCCTGGTACAAACTCCACACAGCGGAGGCACAGTAGACGCTGTCACGTACGGATCCTACCACCTGGTCTGTGCTCATTACGGGAAACAGCCCGGTAATGGGGCTCTGGTAACGAAGCAACTGACGCTTGACTGCGGGAAGGGAAAGTGTTAGAAGCTCCCGGTTATCGCCTCTTAATTGGCAGTGCAAATAAACAAACGATTTTGTTTACAATCAAGCTTGGGGCGTCGACATTTCGCGACGTCCGATGCTTATTAATAGATGCTTTCAATTGGTGCTCAATTGGCCGCCCTACACACAGATCCAAGGTTATATAAATCCTCACCGATGCCATAGTAAATGTCCAGCTGCTTCACAGTGTCCTCATAATTGGACGTCTTTAGAAACTGGTCCAGATTGATGTCCTCCAAACTGTTGTGGCGTCCGCTGTCCGGAGCCCCCGAACTGCCGCCTGGAGTTGTGACCGAGAGACCGAGTCTTCCGATTGGAAAATGGAGCATACTATTATCTAAGGCAGTTACATCGATATTTAATACTTACGATTTCGGCACATTACGCATTGTTTCTTCTGCAATTGCAAATTAATAAGCAATTGCGCCTAAGAAAATGTATCAAAGTCAAAAAAAAGTCAAACGCTTCTAACAGCTGAGCAGCTTTTTGATGCGATATGGCAACGAAACGTGCTGAAATGGGGGATGGAATACTAATCGATTAATTTAAGGCGGCTAATTTGAATCGGAAGTACGGGATTTGTTATTAAAGTCTTTATAGAAGGGTTTTTAATTGTAAAATTAACTAAAAAGAAACAGTTTGACAAAGAAACTGTAATACATATTGCGGTATCATTAGTATCTTGTTAGACATTTGCTTAAGTTCGATAGACAATTTAGGGTGACCACTTAGAACATATGCGACAGTCGCCGATAAGTGTTGTTTTCTAAGCTGCCGGCTTCTTTTGTTGTATACGATTTGTTTTGGTTTTTGTGTGATTCGTTTTTGCCAAGTGGTCCTGATTGCTTTTGGCAAAAATGAGTGCTTCAAATGTGCTTCTACCACTCCTTGCCGCCCTGCTTCTCCTCGTAATCTCCGTTCACGGAACCCTCTCCCCGGACAGTCAGAAATCGAAGAGCAAACTAAAGGAAAGTTCACTGCGTGGCGGTCCCCAAGACAGCGATGTTTTTGATCTGGGATTAGTAAGCCCCGAACCGTTGGCCAAGGATATCGTGACTAATCATCGTGGATACTTCAAAGAGACAGGATTGAGGCGCTTTAATAGCACGACCCTAGGCTATGTGACACCAGTAAACAGAAGAAAGACTCCCCCTTTTTGTGTATGTGTAGTAATGTAGTTTATTACCTTTTTTGCAGTGGAACTCCCATGGCTATGATGTAGCCAAGATCTTCGCCAAGAAGTTTGATATCATCTCACCGGTTTGGCTGCAGATCGTAAAGCAGGGGGATAGTTATTCCGTGGCTGGAACCCATGACATCGATGCAGGTTGGGTAACTGATGTCCGAAGAAAGGGAAAACAGTCCCACAATCAGAGAACAGTTAAAGGTACTAAAATAATCCCCATTCCTATAATATTACAATTACGCTCTTGACATTTAAGTGTTTCCTCGATTCATATTCGACCACTTCACCGACCGGGATATAAAGCTTTTGCTTAGCGACTCCCAGGAGAGGACAAAAGTCAACGAGGTTCTGATTAAGTGCTGTAAGGAAAATGGTTTTGACGGACTGGTTCTGGAGGTTTGGTCTCAGCTGGCTGGACGCATAGATGACAAAATCCTATACACTTTGGTTCTTCAAATGGGTAGGTTTAGTGGGTTAATGGTTTCATTATTATTAATATAATTCTTCCATCTGTTCTTAGCCAAGGAACTCCAGAAACAGCAGTTACGCCTCATTCTAGTTATTCCTCCATTCCGCAAGGATACTGGAAACCTTTTTGGCGAAAAACACATGGACAAGCTGTTCAAGCACATATTCGCCTTTTCACTTATGACCTACGACTTCTCCAGCGTGCAGCGTCCTGGAGCAAATGCACCTCTCTATTTTGTGCGAAAAGCTGTGGAGACAATCGCTCCAGCAGGATGTACTGATATGGCAGTAAAGCGTTCTAAGATTCTGTTGGGTCTTAATATGTATGGCAATGATTACACTCCCGATGGCGGTGGCCCCATAACTTTCTCCCAGTACTTGGATCTAGTGAAACATGTGAAGAAACATTTGACTTTCGATGAGCGGGATGTGGAAAATTTCTTTGAGATCAAGTGAGTTTTTATTGTAAGAGTTTGACATATCGTAAGTTCATTTTTTTTTATTTTAAGAAACGATGACGGTCGCCACATTGTCTTCTATCCCACTCTTTACTCTATCAACGAGCGAATAAAGCTGGCCCAGGAGTTGGGCACTGGTATTTCGATCTGGGAACTTGGGCAGGGCCTAAACTATTTCTACGATCTCTTTTAGAAATCTCGTAACCAGCACATACTCCAAAATAAACTGTCCGCTATATTAGCTAAAAAGCTTCTTAACAATTAAAATTAGTATTGAAATTTTTTTACCGTATCGTGTAATTCCTAAAAAAAATTATTCACATTTAATTAATGCTAAAACTAAATTTTAAATAACGCGCCAATTCTTATTTCGCTGTAGGCTAAGAACCATGGTCAGGTTATCGAATACGGCATAGCGGAAATTTGTATCGAGTGGTTGTAACTATAGTCTCGATATTAATATCTTAAACCATCGATATAAATCGCCTTGGTGTCGGATTGAACTTGTTATTATTATTTAAGCCGGTTAAAAAAATCTAAAAATGCGATTCCTATACGCCTGCTTTGTGATCGTACTGTGTGCCCTGATCTTCTGCGAATACGTGGCAGACTTCGTGGTCCTTCAAAAGTGCAAGTGGCCTGAGATCAAGCGGAAGAAGTATGTGGACGATCCGCTGAGAGCCATGATTCTAGCGGATCCCCATCTCCTAGGACCACATCGTGGCCATTGGCTGGACAAGCTTTACCGGGAGTGGCACATGACGCGGGCCTTTCAGGCGGCGTCGCGTCTATTTCAACCAGACGTGGTGTTCGTCCTGGGGGATTTGTTTGATGAGGGCGACATGGTGAGCGACAAGCAGTTTCAGGAGTATGTATGGAGATATCTGAAGATGTTTAATTTGCCGCCGGGAATTCCGCTCATAAGTGTCGCGGGAAACCACGACGTTGGCTTCCACTACAAGTAAGTAATCCAAATATGAATAAGACTTGTCCCTATTTCCTTCAATATAATTTCTTTTAATATTTTTATAGAATGCATCCATTCTTTATGACGCGCTTTGAGAACTATCTAAATAACTCCTCGGTGAATCTGTATACCATCAAACAAATACATTTCGTAGTAATCAACTCAATGGCCATGGAGGCCGATGGTTGTATGTTCTGCACACAGGCCGAAGATGAATTAAAGAACATTTCGCGGACTCTGCATTGCATGAAGTATCCGCTAGAGGCGGAGTGCGCGCGCACAAGACGGCATCCATATAGCCAGCCGATTCTACTCCAGCACTTTCCAACATATCGTATTTCAGATACCATGTGCGAAGAGCACGATGCTCCTTACATTGAGACGTTCCGCGAGCGCTTCCACGTTCTCTCTAAGGATGCGACTGATATGCTTGGGGAACTACTGAAACCTAGATTGGCATTCGCCGGCCATTCACATCACTTTTGCCATAGTGTCAATCGGCTCGGCATTGATGAATACACGGTGGCCTCATTCAGCTGGCGGAACAAAGTTAATCCCAGCTTTATGCTGGTGGGTATTATAATGGTTTTTATGATTGTATGTTGTACTAATATTCTTATTTTTAGGCCACTATCACCCCTGACGACTATGTGGTGTCCAAGTGTAAAATGCTGCCGCAACAATTTGTCTTCAACAGCTACCTGAGTGCTGGCATCCTCTGCCTCATCGTCATCTCGTTCCAGCTGCGCAAGTATATTATAAGTAGAAGGCAGTCTTCGGTCGCAGATCACCGAAAGGTCAATTAGTTGTACGTACGAGCGAGCCTTTACAAGGCACATCCTCTTTTGTGATTTACGCCTGAATGGGGCTTAGTTTAGACTAGATACAGCCAGATTCCAGACTCAGATTCCAGATCCAGACAGTGGTCATATCATTCCTGCTGCTTTGCAACCGCTTAACTATATTTAAGGTGTAAACAATTCGATCGATAATCTATTTATTGAATTTATCACAGACATTATGCTTGTAAAGTCACACGGAATACATAATGAGACACAGTCTGCTGACTACAAATCGAAAATGCCAAAGAATAACGCTTGAACATAAGCTGGAAAGTGAAGAACAGATACGAACAGATCAATTAAATAAAGCTATTATATAATACAATATTTACACTACGGCAATGATTGTGCACTCTGGAGATGGAGATGCAGATTCATAGGTTCCTGTACTTCGGTTTGTGTTTTCCAATCCAATAGCTGGATCGCATTGTACTAAACTAGGTTATTTGTAAGGTAACTCCCGCAATGAAACTACTACTACAAACTACGCTAACAAAACAAATTGGTGGAATTCAATGCCACAGGACCTCAATTTCTCGATCAATTCCTTATGACTTGGCACAGGATGTTATGGCGTGTATTTCAGGAGACATTTAGAAGGTTTTTGTGTGCGTGAACTTGAAGGTTGCGACCGCTAAAGCACTCTTTTGGAAGGAATCTGAAAAGGAAGTTTTCAATTATAGTATTTAATCGTACATTGGGGATAATTTTTTATTTTTACCTGTGAATCACTGGTGATATCAGATCCGGGTCCAGAGTTTTGATATTTGTTGGTTTGGTCACAAGGGAGACTAAAGCGCCCACCACGATGACTGTGGCAACACCAATGGGATTTATCCAGTGGTAGGACAGTCGATACAGTGGGAAAACTTGCTCCTCATCTACCCAAACGTTTTCTCGAAGAGTTACGTTACCCACACATCCCTCCACGGATACGGGAAGCTTTTGAGAATTTAATTCGCCCGCTGCAATGGTAAACTGCGTTCCAAAGGATATCCATCCCGCAAGCAGAGCACTTGCAATTCCGCCCACAGCAGTGCCCACAGTATTGGCCCAAGGAACGAGCATTCCCAGAGTAAACAAGCCAAAAGTGGTTCCAGCTGCAATGGCCGTCATTGAAGTGCAAATGCTCAAAATTCCACTCAGTTGCTCCAGGACGAACACTAGTGAGAGGGCCACTAAGCCAAGTACTATGATAGTTGACTTGACCAAAATGGTGGAAGCTCTTTCACTTGGTTGCATCTTGAAGCAGCCGCGAACTATATCCTCCAGGATCACTAAGGAAGTAGAGTTAAGAACTACGGAAAGAGAACTCAATGCAGCTCCGAAAATTCCAGCTATGAACAAGCCAGACATTCCATAGATGTGACCCACACTCTGGATAACAAAGAGGGGCAGGAGTTGATCGTCATGCTGTGGAAATATAAAGGTTAGCAAGGCTAAAAAGTTATTTATTATTTACACACCGTGATGAGTCCAGCACTAAGAGGATCACAATCCTTGTACATTTCAAAAGATAAGCAATCCCACATAACAGCAAACTGATACGAATGCAGCAACTCCAATTGTGAAAATTGCCATGGAAGCACGGGCCTTTTTTAGCGACGGAAGAGACATATAGCGCTGAACCATGGTCTGATTGACGGCATTAAAAGATGTCCAGTAGGAGAAACCACCGATGAGAACGCTCCAAACGGTATGTCGAACATAGGGCGAGGGGTTTGTATTGTTAAATATCAATCGTCCACCTTTGGCTGCATCGTCAAAAAGGGCATTTAAGCCTTTGGCATAGACAGTTGCCAAAACAGCCACTGCAAGAACGGAAAGGAACATCACCAGAACCTGCCAGGCATCTGTGTGGACCACTGCCTTGATCCCTCCCTAGAAATGTATAATTCAGTTATACATAATTTTGCGGATCACCTACTCCAAAGCTTACCACAAACGTATAGAAAACACACACGACAACAATTACCACTGCAATCACATGGAGATTAATGCCTGTTACTGCAAGATTAACAAAATACTTTAGGCTTTTTTAAAACAAAAATAAAAAATATAGCTTACCTTGATTAAGAGCTATAGCTGGCACATACACAATGAAAGGCAGAAACAGTATCTGCAAACAGATCAATGATTATTTGTATTAAGATATCCGTCCTTAAGCTTGAACTTACCTCGTCCAGTATAAACATAAACGATGCTATGCTTCTAATCACCGAGTGAAAACGCATCTCCAAGTACTGAAAGTAAATTTATCTTTATACATTAAAATAAAAATAGTTTCAATTTGGTTATTAAGCCTGGCAATAACGTAGAGTTCGAAAGCTAACGTCACTTGTTGATTTTCGGGAAAGGGAATTGCTCAAACCCATGTGTCAAGTGGCAGCAAAATACTTTGCAATTAATTATATCGGACATAAAAAAACGTCGCAACAAGTGGGCGAGAGCAAAGTCCAAGAAATTCCACTTAAGGAGGGTGGTCTCTGATTCTTGATTAATTAAAGTGTTCACTACATTTCCCGTCCATTGATTGCAAATATATAAAAGAGTGAAAAGAAGGGGGCACACGGAAACAACTAACAAAGTATCTCATTCTTATCAACAAAGTTTTAACTGAACTGTCCTAAATTTTTTTAAAAATATTGTCGAATGCATGAGAATTTTCAATATGTTAGGTTTTTACTTTTACTGTACCATAATCTTCCCGATTAATTACGTTTTAAAACAATAAATCAGTTTCTGGTAGTCGCGAGTGTCGTACCTCATAGGAAGAGCCTACTTGAAGAGCCGAAAATACGGGTATATACACATAGGAGACGGCTATGCCTTGGAGCACGATTGCAATGGCTATAAACCAATATTGCGTGCCATAATTGTAGATTTCTGAGGTGGTGCCTAGTATCGTGACGCCAGATATATAGCTAGAATAGGAGTAAAGATTACACGGATGCTCAAAGGAAGCATTATCATACTTACCTAGCTATCAGACTCATAGCAACGGGAAAAACTTTGAGATTGCGTGACCCAAGCAGATACTCACTCATTTTCTCCGATCCGAAATCGTGCTTGCGCCTTTCTGGCATTGTCGTCGGAAGAGTGGGTTCCGCCTCCTCGAGCTTCCTCTTGCTTTTCCTGTAATTAACGCAATTGTTTGGCAATAGTCTGATGATTTGTATTGAAGGTGACTCACTTGATGCACCCAAAATAGATTCCCGTGCCCGTCGATAATACAATCATGCCCAAGAAAACTACATAGTCCACACTGCCAAATCTGTAGTTTTCCATGCCATTCTTCACCACCTAGTGAACATTTTTATTTGTTATCAGTTCCATGATCTTTTTATTTATTTACATATATCCCTTTAAGACATTAGTACCTTACATTGCCTTACGGATAGACCTTTGTGCAATAAAGGTAACAATCACCTTATTTAATATTAGCTGGTGCTGAGATTTTAAAACTTTGTTTATTTCTTTTGTGTGCACAAGTGCGCGAAATGGACTTAAAGCCCGTATAATAATTATACGTCTGGGATTCTAATTCTAATTGCTGTAGCTTATCTCGATGGGTCATAAGAAGAAAATTGGACTCCCCTAACTATTCGCAAACAAACAGTCGCAAAGGTAAAACAGATTTTCTGAAGAAAAAATAAAAAACTTCAAAATGCCATGTCAAAAATTATAAACTTGTTTTGTTTATTCCCATAATATCTTACCCCTATAAAAACCGAATTTTAAAAAGTGACAGACTTTAGTCTCTAAAGCCGCAATTCTCCAAGTGGAGTCATGGGAATCAGGTCTTATCAGCAGGTGCCTGCTTATTATTCATCAAATATCAAATCAAAGCGTGCTGGCCAATCTCAATAGGTTAAAGACTTTAACCCATTACCCTATGTATTATTTATTTTAAATCGTTTGCCATCGTAAATAAATAGAAAAACATTTATAAATAGTGAAGTAATGAAGTCTACAATTATTACCATTTTACACTAATTAATCAATTAATTAAAAATATGTTAACAATTCTCCTAAATGGGTAATAAATATTTTAAGTTTAAAACAGTTTTAATGCTGAGGAATCCCCTTTTTTACTTTTTTTATTTGTTACGTGAAATCACAACGCAGACGATGATCAGCATAAAATATCTACTATTATGATATCTCGTCTGTGTGATTTTAGTTCATTGACTGACGCGATGATCAATCGAAAACGATCGAATCTCAGTTCGGGGAGAAGCGACTTTAACCTTTTACGCAATATCTCGAGCAGCATTAGCATTATCGCACCGGACTTTGTAACACAGATGCCGGTTCCCTCCGCTCTCCCTCTCTTCAGCCCAGAAATAGCTTTCAATATTTGAGGCCGGAGAAAGGTGCGAATACGTACCGTTTCCATATTGGTAAGGACCGGCAAACGTTGAGATTTACAAAGGTGGGGGTGGCTTCCAGAACTGAAGCAGCAAGGCCAAACAGAAAAGTGTGCGTCGCTCACGAAAATCAACACCAAAGCAAAACACGATAAATGGGCAGAAAGAGCCGACAGCCGACAATCCGCGAAACGCAAGGGAAAAAGTCTTATGGCACAATGGGTCAACGGATTTTGTCCGATTCCATGAGTTTTGAAAAGGTGTTATAAATGTAAATTAATTACATCGAATACAACACATTAAAACCAAACTTGAAAATGTAAATCGCGTCGCGGAAAACGAGAGTGAAGGGAAAGTTTTATCGGTCTGTTCTGTGCGCGTTCGCCGATTCTTTGAAGTCGAAAATAGGAGCGTGCAAAAGTGAAATATTCCACGTCCGAACCGAACCAACAACATCAGCCGATTCCGCTTCCGAACTGCAACTGATGTCTACGAGCGAGTCGAAAATAAGAGCCACTGGGCCAGCTGCTTGACTAAAAAAAAGTGGAAGAAATAACATCCAGAGACTCGACCCTCACATACCCATTACCCAACCATAATATGAGAGGTACTCCCGGAAAAAAACGCATATTAATTATCAAATACGGTAATAACAAATTCTATTAGCACAAAATTTAATAATTTTAATTTTAGCACTTGTATTAATAATATATATGCGCAAAAGTGGTATATAGTTACACGAATTTTAAGGAATATAAGATACCTTTCTACTCTACGTTTAATGGGCTCAAAAAGCTCCCTCTCCCACCCATTAATTTCCCTTTAGTTGAGAAAGAGAAAGAGCGGCACCGTGTAACGTGGGTTTTGTGAGAGGGTTTTTGGCGAGAACGAGGCCGGAGAGAAAGCTTCCTGTGGCTTTTGTAATCTTCACTGTGTTATGTCAATGAGAGTTGCTACTTGTGCATTCGATCAGCTAATGGAGCTATTAACGGAACTAATTCGCAAAGATGCATTAAACTAAAATATCATCAATATTTTTCAGATACTTTACACTTTTTACTAGCAATTCACACTCAACATTTATGAAATGACGCATTTATGGTGTTCATTTTTTAATATTTCAAATTGCCCTGCAGTTTTTTAAAAGACATTTTTATTCTGAATACAAATTTAAACCTACTATTAAGAATTCAAAAATATGATTAAGGCCTTGGTTTTTAATTATTTTTATTGTTTTAATATAACATTCAATTTATAAAAGAAAGCATATAATTGCCCGCTTGCCGGGGATGCAATTTAAATTCAAATGTTTTCTTTTAATTTTTCAGGAAATGAGTGTTAAATTTGCCTATGAATCACTGAAGATATCATTCCAAATTTAGAGTTGTTATACCCTTTCTGACAACATAGTAGCTTTCGTGAGATGTTTGTAACGCTGAGGACGGGTTATTTTTATAAAAAAAGTACACCTATTTTTCAAGACGTATTACAAGGCGTGTTGATCTAGCTATATATCAGCAAGCTTCTATGCCATTAGCACGCTTAGTTTACAAGCTAACAAAAGCCAACTTGCTCATTCGTTTTTAAATTCTGCATTAACATTGCGATAAACCAAATTATGCGTCGAATTTATATAGCTATTCAATATACATAGGATCCTATAGCTTATAATTAATTCAAATATGTTGCTGCGTTTTTAAGATTTTTAAAGGCGTATCAAAATCTTGGCGCGAAGTTATATGAGTTCTCGTTTTAACTTCGGTGAGATTAGTCACGATTCAGTGGCAGATTAGTGGTAACACTTCCTTTTGATATATTTAATATCTCTGTATAATTCCAACCATCCACGGAGAACTTAGAAGTACCGATTTCCCTTCTTGGCCAATAAATCGAAATAGTCAATCAATAACGAGTCTCCATGGGAGAACTATTTTGAATGAGCAACCACAATATATAATTGCACAATTGTCAGTGTCAGTCTTTGGCCACCTCTCCATTCGCACTGCGCCGTGAGTTTCCAATGCGGAATGTAATTGGATTAGGCAGCAACCAAGTCCGAGACCCATTCTCAGTTTCAGTCCCAATTGCAAAGAGAACACTCGTTGGTGCTCCAGATTGCCGAGAATCCGTGGCCAAACTGCAGAATTTCATAATCTGGAAACATGAGCAAACCGAATCCCTCAAAAATCGTTTTCAAGCGGAAAACGAGCATCGGAAGCAAAAGTAGCCATGTAATCGATTATGAACGCATCCAGGGGGATTTCGAAGTGGTGGCTCCGACTTCTTTGCCTCCAACAGTTGCACCACCCATTGGGGGTCAAGGAAAACTAATGTTGAAACTAAGCTCTGCTAAGATTTCCCTGCGAAAGAACTCACGGAGTCCGTCGAAAAATCTTCAAGCTGCTCCCATGGTAGATGTTGTTCGACGCAAGTCAGCACCACAGATCTTTTCCTTCTCCATTGCCCCCAAAAGTGAAGCGAATTCGAAAATACAGCAAACAATAGTACCAAAACTACCAGCTTTAGCGCCAATTAGTTCCATGCCACGGTCAAGGACTTTGGGTTTGTCCAATGGCGTCAAAGTAGGAACATTTGGGATCACCACTGAGGAACTTGCACTTCAAGACAGGGACAGTGGCAGTGAGCCCACCAGTAGCTTGGCCGGAGGCGGCAGCTCTACGTCTCCTGAATCTCTACTAGACAACATTCTTAGTGGCGCCTCTTCCGTTTCTGTTCAAAGTAGCAGCAGTAGTCAGGCAAGTAATGCAACAGTGGCCCAGCCTATCAAATCTAAGGAGCAGCTGCATCCTAAGAGGTTGCTAAGCTTGAAGGCTTCACCGGAATTGAGGATATCTCCCCCAACACCAGACACTACCCAACCTAAGCTGCAGATGCTACCTCAGCTTCTTCTTACAGTCTCTCCGCGAGCAGAGATTTTTGATGCGCCCTCACCACTTGTTAGAAGCCCCTCACGATCGCCAGCGGTCTCTCCCGAAGTTTCACCATCACCCAGCATAACATTGAGACCCAGTACTCCTCCCGAGAACACCATTAGCTTTACGGATGATCTTAAATGCGGCATATGCCTGGATGTCTACACGGATCCTAGAACCTTGTACTGCCTGCATTCCTTTTGCCTGCAATGTCTGGTTAGCGAGAACTTTAAAGACGAGTCTTTGTGGGAGCCAGACCCAGCCCGTAGTGAGGATCCCTCAAGCTATAGTCTAAGATCCGATATGGGTGGTTCGAGTGCTGAACTCACGGCTACAATTGCACCTGCCAGGCAACGAGGAGCAAGTTTCAGCCTGAGAAGAAAAAAGTCCATGGATCGGCTAGTGATCAGGGTAAGACTACGAGATTAGTAGATGCACAATAAACATTAGTCCATTCATTAGTCCAAGAGTGAAGGGAAGCGATCGACTAGTTCCTTCGGCACCCGTTTCACCGGAAGCTTTGTAAGCGAGGCGTCTACCCGATGTATTCGTTGTCATAGCTGTAACTATCCTACGGATCTTCCGTTGGGTGGAATACGACAGCTTCCTCAAAACTATTTGTTAGTAAGACGCATTGAGGCCTTGCGACTGAAGGCTGGAGAGGATGTAATATCCAAGGTTTGGTGCTCTCTTTGCACCGAGGAGATCAGCGTAAGGAAGACTGTCTTGAGAAGTTTGACGGCTGACCAAAGGCCCACATTGTTTTTGTTTCTAGGCCACCTATCACTGCATCAGCTGCACTTTGAACCTCTGTACATTGTGTAAGGAGGCACATGAGAGACAAAGAAGCACCTCAAATCACCGAATGAGAAGCATCCTGGAACTAAGACGCGCCAGGAAACAAAAGCAACAGCAGCTGGGATTGGGAGACAATAGCAAGCTGGTGCTGCGATGTGGAATCCATACCAGCTTCGAACTTAAGGCATTCTGTACCCACTGCCGGCAATTAGCTTGCACCGACTGTTTAGTGTTGCTTCATAAAGGCCATCGACATGAAGCCATTTCCCGGGCCATTACGCATCAGGGAAAACTCCTTAAAGAGGCTACGGACCAAACTCGACCCCTTTGTCAATATGCAGAGCACTCTATCGAAAGGTTGAATTCTATAGCACGAGGTATCAACGACAGATGTGACGAGATCCAGAGTCAAGTAGAGCGATATATGCAGAAGTACATCGAGGCTCTGGAAGTGCATCGTAGGACCCTTCTTCAGCAAATCAGTAGAGCCAGGGAATCCAAAGTAGAAGTTGTGGTCAAGCAGCAACTGGATTTGGGTGAGATTTTCTTTATTTCAAGTATAATCTATTTGATTTGTTGCTATCCCATAGAGAAACGTACTCAGCAGGCCCAAGATGCAGTACGATTTAGCCAAGAGTTGTCCGAGATCGGGGCCGATGTCGAGATCCTGAGCTTTGTTGCTATACTTCTTAGGCGCTTGGAATACTGTCAACAATTTAAGCCTCCAGTGGATCCGAAAGTGGGATAACTAATCGTTTATTAAAAAACTTTTTACCATAAAGAAGTATCCCATTTCTGTCCAGATCTCCGACTCCCTGCACTTTCTTCCAAAAATAAGAGCTCCGTCGACGAAGGACCAGCGAGATATTCCTCTATATGGTATTATCACCATGCAGGTGGTGGAACCTGGCTTGTGCACCTTGGAATGGGAAGGTTTCTCTCAGCTGCGACTCCACAAGAAGGCAGATCTTCTGCTTCACTCCAGAGATGCTGATGGGGTTTCCCTATGTCACGGTGGACTCGAGATTAACTGCATGTTGAAATACAAGGACTCGAGCTCCAAGTTTCTGCCCGTAGAAGTATCGGACAATCGGGACGGGACCTACAACATCTCCTTTACGCCGGACGCCCAGGGTTCACTAATTCTCACGATCACGATAAACGAGCGACCAATCAAGGGAGGCCCTTTTACCTTTCAGGCGCGTCAGGTTCGCCCGCATACGGGAATATACCACTGCTGTTCTTTCTGTTCCGGAAAAGGCAACCGGAATGTGATGTGCTCATGTGAAGGACGAATGCCCGGATACATCGGCTGCGGTCATGGACATGCAGGACATCCGGGAAGACGCCACTGGTCCTGTTGTGCAAATGTGCTAGAGAACTCAGAATGCAATGTGGCTAATAAACTTCTGAATAACTAGTGAGGTTCCTATATATGCGATAATTATAGAAAAAAACGAAGTAACTATTATATTGGAGCGTCTTTATGTTATATATCCTTATTTTCTTAAGGCAAATGAGGCAATCTAATATTAATTAGATTATAACCATATTTAATTTATCCGTTCAGCTAATAGTCTACATGTCCTTCGACTCTTGCTAAGCATAATTTTAACATAAGAGAAAAAAAGAGTTACAGAACTATTACCAGCACACTCCTAAACAAAAGGAATTACATGGAAATTTTTGAGTGGGCAATAAAGGTCCAGTTACAGCCACATGGTCAACACATGAGCATCATACCCTGACCATCACAATAGATGTCTAGACTGCGGCAGAACATAGTTTTTGTTTATTCATTGAAAACATCATAAATACAAATATTAGTGCTTGACGGTTACATATAAAAATGTTGTCCGACGTTTCATGAGTTGTAGGGGAGTTTTGTAAACGTCTGCAGGTAGGCTAGAAATAATTCTAAGTGTTTTTTTTTTCGTTAGATATATGAGCGCTCATTTCCGCTGTCGTTCAGCCGACAGTTTTAATCCTCATTATCCGAGTACCAGGACAGGCGCTCCTCGTAAAAGTGGATCACCATCTGCGGGATTTTTACATTGGCCACTGAAGAGGGCACCATTTCAGCCTGATCTACGCCTTTGAACTGAATGAGGAATGTCAGGCGCCCATTGTTGTCAGAGGCTCCCAGAATCTTTTCGGCCTCCAAGCCGCGGTCAAATCCTGTAGAGCCAACTGCGGAAATGCCGCCGTCCTGTTCTACCTCTGCTGTACGTTTTACTTTGCTGCTAACGGGTGCTAAGGAAAGAGAATTAAAAATTCCTTTAATTGCAGAATATTTCTTAAAATTTGTAGGTCTTAAGATTTAATTTGTTACCGTTTTTTTTTGTTTCAATTATTGAAATATCGGAGAACATGGACATGGGTCCTAAAAACAAAACCAGAAAAAGACTAATCCATATATAATAAACATCTATTGGTAAAACCTGTGGCGTGATGTCTTATGGCCTTAAGCTAGTACATCTACTAAAATAACGGTGTGATTTGAAAAATGTATAGGTAAAAAAAACAATTAAAATGAAAAGGAAGTTAGACTTTTGACTTTTTTTTCATTAGAATCTGAGTGCTTAGTCCCAACATATAGGCTCAAGGTATTTAAGATATCTGTGTTCAAATGAACAAGGACGGACATGGGTAGATCGGCTTGGCTGGTAGTACTGATCAAGAAGAATATGTATGTATCTTAAGCTTCTTATTTTAACCGGCAACTGATTTTCACTATATGATGAAGGTACCTATTCATAGGTACACTCCATTACGTAAACCACTTCCTACACTCCGGAGTTTTCCAAGTTGGGTTGGGTGGGTTACCTACCTGCTGGTTCTTCGGACTTTCGCTTGCTTGTTGTGGTCGCTGATGTGCTGACGCGTCCTGTGTTTGTTTCCTTGGCCTTGGCACTACTGTTTGGTCGATCTTTTTTAGAAGAAGCCGCCTTTTCCTACGGATAACAATAAGATGTAATAGAAATCCAAGCGAGCACAACTGTACTAAGCTCCGCAGCACATACCTCGTCCTTGCGACTCAACTCGTACTGCTGGATGAGATCCTGGCAGTCGAGATTGCTCTCCGGCTCCCAGGTGTTCTCAGTTTCTGCGTAGCCTTTCCATTTGAGGTAGTACTCAACCTGCAGGTGGAAAATGCCGTTTTAGGACCAGAAATTAGGCAATTATCCGTTACGGATTACCCACCTTTCCTTTGCGCACCCGCCGGTCGATGATCTTCTCGACAGCATACTCCTCCTCCTCCTCACCATCTGAACCCTTTCCGGTGCTCTCAGGATTGTCGGTTTTCTTGGCCATTTTATTTGCCATTTAAATACTTCTCACGGGTGAAAAAAAATACAAAAAATTTGCACAACCACACGCGCACAAACACATGCAAAAGACCCTTTTAGTCGCTTCTTTACTATAATTTTGTAAGTCACTTACCACTAGTTAGTTCAAGAGAAAATATATAACTCCACTTGCACAACTTAATTTAATTTCAGCACTTAGTGTACTGACGCTAAGACAATTTATTACAAAATGAAAAGTCTGCAAAAAAATGCGCGTTCTAAAGTGACGCCGGCCGAAAGTACGCGCCGTTTCCCAACACTGAAATAAATCGATAGTAATCGATATTTCATTTCGTTTTGAATATTTATCACGGATTTAAAATTTCAGTTGCATACAATAGATTTAAATTACTATGAAAACTATTATTTTTGTTGTTATAAAGAAAAAATATCCAGTTAAATCAGATATAATTCGATATTTTCTTGAACTGCTGTTTTTATCGATATATCGCTGCTTTTGCTCTTCCTGTAAGCGCGCTTGAACATTCACACATTTTTTACCGGCTTGCTTTATTTTTCGCAAAACGTAAAAAATAATAGAAAAAATGCCTAAAGCAAAGAAGCAACGTACTCCCTCTTCGGAAAGCGACAGCGGCCCAGAGGATGTAAGTCAACATGAAATAAATTAACAATCTCAAATTGGTTTTATCTTCTGTGTATGACAGCGCAATCCGCCGGCAAACAAGAAGGCCAAGGAATCTTCTACGAAATCCGATGCCGGAGATGGGCCAACCACTTGGACTCTTGAGGGACTTCGCCAGGTGCGAATCAACGAGTTCCGCGGGCGCAAGATGGTGGACATACGAGAGTACTATGAGAAGAACGGCGAAAATTTGCCCGGCAAAAAGGGCATCTCACTCTCCATAAAGCAGTGGAAAAAACTCCTTGAAGTGGCTGAGGAAGTCACGCGCGCCGTCGAAGATTAATACAAGTTAATCAAAACGACTACCTTTAAGCCATAGGATATATGAAGTTAATACACGCCAAATACAATCATTTAAATAGTCCCCGTGAATAAACGTTATTTTCAACCATATTTATTGCCAATTTGTATTTTAATTGACCGTCCAATAAAAGTGAGATTTAGTTTAATGGAATGATCGATTTAAGTGCTATTAGTTAATGTTTCTATATCTCACATAATAGATTCACAAAAAGCGGATATATAAATAAATAATCAGTTTATTGATTGCACTATACAAAAACACAAAGATAAAGAGTTAAAGCCGAATTATCTTAATGGACTCAGCTACACTCATTTAAGACCATTTTTCCGAACAGTACTACGCCATATATTTATTTATTTATTAAACTACACCATATTAACATTTATTTAAAAGTAAAGTTAACGTATTCTTAGTCACTAAAAGTAGACACCCAGCAGGATGCAGGCGGTCAGGAGTATCGCAAACGGTAGCCAGGTCTTAATGAAGCCTCCGATCCCGACGTAGCGCCCGCAGACAAAGAGCCACATGCTGAGGATGATCATGTTCCATCCTGTGCTGTTGTTGTAGCGCATGTTTATCAGAGCCGTGGCCACATGCGAGTGACAGTTGTCGCATAAGATGTTGTGAATACGGGTTCCATACAGCACTGACGCCTTGGACACAGCCTCATCCCACGCGTAGCTACCGCCTTCTACGTACTTGGGGTGCAATCGTAAGTACCGAGTCGGTCGCCCGAATGCCATGTTGTCCTCCGACACAAAGTAGGCGCCGGCAAAGTCACGGATCACTCCGGCCGAGGTGCAAATGCCCATATGGCCAATCATGGGCAGCAGCCAAGTAAGCACAGGAATGGGGGTCCAGACGATGCAGTAGGGAAATCGCTGATCCTTTTCGCTAATCGGCGGTAATCTTTCAGGGACGCCATCGCCAGAACCTCCACCTGATCCACCCATCGAGATCTGTACGTCCTCTGACTGTTGTCGCTGGTGTTGGGGTCTTGGGTTCGTCGACATTATTACACTGAATGAGGTTAATAGTGCGGGGAAACCAGAAGAACAGTCACTCACGGTCTTTCCGGTCGTTGTGTCCACAAAATCGGTCGCTAACTTTTCCGATTTGGCTTGAATTATACGATAAGGGGGATATAAACCAGACGAAATTCACGGATTGCTGGGAGTATGTGTACGGCACAAACAAAATTCACCAACATACACCTGTGTATTTACTTATCGAGGGTATAACAGTGCTGGAAAACGTTAGATAGCAACAGAGGCATGCAAGTGTAAATTTAATAGGGTTTATTCCCAGAATTTGTTTAAATTTGGTTTTTTACTGACAATATTTAAATACATTTTGTAAAAAAGTTGCTTGAAATATTGTTTTAGAAATTGAGATGACCACCTCTAATTGACCCCCAGAAAAATCATCCGTCCTGAGCCCCTCTCACAATCAGCTGTTGCAGCCTTAGCTTTTGTTGTGTTGAGTGATAATTTGAGCTGTTTATTTGCTGAGCTGCTTTTTCTATTGCGAAATTTTTATTAACAACGTTATTAATTAACGTTGGCCATGACACAGGTGTTTATTAACGGTGCAAGAGACGAGCTCAATGTGCGGGAGTTCGAGAGTTTGGGTACGGTGTAGGGAACGCGAAAGGAAACTGTATAATTTATTTTCCTTTCCTCAGATCCATCAATTCAAGAGCTCATCCTAGCAGCCACTGAAGCCAGGAAGCAGGCTTATTGTCCTTACAGCAATTTTGCAGTGGGAGCTGCCCTGAGGACAAGTGATGGCACAATATATTCAGGATGCAACATTGAAAACGGTGCATACGCAACCTGCATTTGTGCGGAGCGCACTGCAGCTGTCAAGGCCATTAGGTTAGTTTGTCAATAATCTGGGTCGTAACAAAGGAAAACAATTTTGTGTAGTTGTAAAAGCTTACATTTTTGTATTTCAATATAAAATACATATGTACATTGGTTCTCAAATCTAAACAATACAGTGCTATAGACATACATATGTACAAATTTGAAAAATTCATAAGAATTTTACTATAATAACTGACTTTACTACTTTTTTTTCTTTTCCAGTGAAGCCAAACGCGATTTTGTCGCATGTGCAGTTGTGGCCCAGCAGGATAATGGCTTCACCACGCCATGCGGGGTCTGCCGGCAGTTCCTGTCAGAGTTCGTCAACGGCAAGGACATCCCCCTATATGCTGCCAAGCCAACCAACCTTCCATTGAGGGTGCTCTGCACCAGCGTTCTCCAACTGCTGCCCAACAGCTTCAGTTTCTCGAACGGAAAATAGGAAAAGCATATACTGCCCGGACAGGGTGCAATGCCGCTGAAACCTATGTGCAATAGTTTATGTGATTCCGAGTTTGTTATATTCTGTTAACCCACCCTCGTTATTTGTTGATTAATTAGCTTATACAAGGCAACGCATCTGTTTGTGTGTTTTTCACTGCTCTCCACGATCGTTGCTTATCAGTCAAATAGTTTTCTCTCCAAGTGTTTATTTTTGTCACCACCACACGACGGAGAGCGCTATCATCATAGCCAACTTTGCGCGGCTCTGTCACCACAAACTGTCCATTTGCCAGCGGACGTTCAAAGGGGAAACAACGAGCCACGCACTCGCCTTGCTAAAAATAAAACAAAATTTTAGAAAAGAGGTGTTCCTCCCTTGACCAAAAATATTAAATAATAATGACACATCTGACCAAAAATTTTGCACGTCCTGAAAAGGCGGAGGAAGTGGTCAGCTTCGGCAGTCTGGGTAAGGTTCATCTACCAGATAAATAATGAAAAATACGATCATTAAATATCTTAGAAGTTATCCATAATATATATTTAAAACCATTTTGTATATATAATTATGATATATATACAACTACCAAGTGTTAATATCAAGTTATAAGTTGTATTCTTTTGCAATTCTTTTGTGACGTGTATTGTATTGACTTCCAGATCCATCGGTTCAAGAAGTTTTAACAGCTGCCTTTCAAGTGCGTCAACGGGCCTATGTGCCATATAGTGGGTTTAAAGTGGGGGCTGCTTTTAAGGCCAAGACCACTGGACAGATTTTCACTGGCTGCAATGTGGAGAACGCAGCCTTTACGCCGTGTTCTTGTGCAGAGCGAACGGCCCTTACTAAAGCCGTAAGCGAGGGAGAAACTCAATTTTCAATCGGAGCTGTATTGGCTTACGAGCCTGATGTTTTCACTACTCCTTGTGGCGTCTGTCGACAATTTATCCGGGAGTTTGCCAACGAAGATATACCCATTTATGTGGCCCAGGCTATTGATGCGAGGATTGCTGCAAAGGAAGAACCTTTGCAGAGTGACGATCCCATTCTGTGCACCTCGATCTTCAATTTGTTGCCTAGCAGTTTTCACACATATCGGAAATAACGCTGTTGGAAAGGAGAGAAAGCAAGAGCGGTGGCTAGTTCAAGGTTGCCCCACAACACGTCACTGCCCCTGGAAATAGTCTAATCTATATAATTTTAATCTAATCACCTGAAATAAAGAAAATTACACTACTAAAGAAAGCTAAACGTTTATCGATATATGTATAAAAATATTGGGAGACAAATAACTTGCTAAAGATTTCCACATAGAAATATTCTGAAAGAATTTGATAGCCTGATTAAAAATAAATATCACTAATTATGTATATGTACATAAATAAGTACATTAAATGTGTTTTCTAGCGAATTTTATAGTTTCAATTACAGGGGATTTCCCGATTTCTGAAAGAGGGTAACCGGAGCAGTGGCTGATTTTTATAGATATGTATACGGTTTTTCAATTAACTACGTAAGTTTATATATATTATGATTCAATTGAGTTTGTCAAAAAATTAACATTTGTCTTTTACAGATTGTCAAAAAATCAGTAGTTGTTTCCGGCTTACAAAAATACATAGTTTTTTTTAAAAATAAATTTTAAGTCTAACGAAATGTCGGAAAAGCGGAAGCTCCTCCAGCGGTGTATGAAAAACCTGAATGCTTTACAAGATGAGCTCAAGCGAAAGGAGTTAGAGAAGAAGATGAAGGAACTGGAGTCGTTGCAGTGTGATCTAGCTCGTCGCCAGGAGCAATCTGGTACTAAGTGCGCTGGCGGTAAGATCAAGGAACTGCGTCAGAAAACGTTACAGAAGGTCTTAGGGAAGTATATGAAGACCTTAGAAGGATTTCTTTGTCAGCTGGCCCGCCGGGAGGCACGTCTCAATGGAGACAAGGGTCGAGCCAGTGAATCTGAAAATCTGCCGCATCCCGAAATGTTGGAGGAGTATACGGTGGCGTTCTGTTCTGTTGGTAAGTGCTGCGTTTATTTTAGTGAAACATTATCCCCTTTCATTGTCCATATATTCCGCAGGCGAAGATGGTCGTGAGCTGCTGGAAGCAGCGCTTTCCGCCCGCAGGTGCGCCTATGCGCCGTACAGCAAGTTTAAAGTAGGTGCTGCCTTTCGTGCTAAGTGCGGTAGGATCTACACGGGATGCAATATCGAAAACGTAGCGTTCACTCCTGGTAATTGTGCGGAGCGGTGTGCTCTGGCTAAGGGAATTAGCGAAGGCGAGATGAAATACACGGCGGGTGCTGTTGTGGCATATCATCCCGATGGGTTTACCACACCTTGCGGTGTCTGTCGCCAGTTCATCCTCGAGTTTGTACACAAGGACATTCCCATCTATATTGCAAAAGCACCGCCACCGGAGCAGGAGAACTGCATTCCTGCGATTCAGGATGAGGATGAGGTACTGGTGACTTCCGCCTACCACCTGCTTCCATACAGCTTCAACTCATTTGAATGATTTCCGATCTAATGGACAAAATTTCAAATTTAATATTTATGAACCATTGTACGACTCTTTTCCTAAATCGTTTTGGATATACTATTTTAATTCAAGATTTTATGAACTACAGTAGAAGCGGTCTCCATAAATGGTTAAATTATAACTGCCACTAAAAATATATCAACACTGTAAAAGCCAATCGAAACTTTTTTTTAAAATCATTTATTACATTAATTTATGAAGTGAGCAGAAAGTCAAAATGGTTGGAACTTTCAAACATACTTAATAACAGGATCCCCAGATCCATAGATGGCGTATTCGCTTTTCGTGGCAAACGGCATAACTTCCTCATGCACCAGTACCGGTTTCACATCCGGATCAAATTCAACCTTTCGGAACTGCGGATCTGTATAATTAGCACGCACCTCGGTGACCATTCCCGAATGAGGAACGCGCTTTGTGAGATTTTGGAACTCGCAGCGTCGTTTTGGACAGTCATGAGTGTTACCCTCGTCGCACAGCGTGGGATCCTCTTCTGGTGATACTTTCCGTGGGGGCGGCATCTTCTCCTTCCAATTCCAATATGTTATATTATCTTGGGCAGCTACACTGGCGCTTACATCCTGGGGGCTCAAGCGCACATAGGAAAGATTATAGGTGGTGGCGGAGGGGTCCAGGTACTTGCTGTATAAAGCTTGCGAACGGTCAATAACCAGCTTTGTGGCCGCCACCGGTGTGGGCATTGCAATCGGTATTATCTCCTGCTCCTCTGGCAGTTCTTTTAGCACATAAGAGTCATGACTAACGCTAGAAATGGGTTTCATCTTCCGTTTTATAAATCGAAGACAGCCCTCCTCGAATGGCTTCATGTACTGAGTTTTCATGTTGAGCGAAGGGTTTGTTAGAGTATTTGGATTGCCGTACTAAAAGATTACGAGTGGAAACATTCAATTGCTGCAAGAAATTAGAAAAATCTACTCACCTTCCACACATAATTGGCCATGCATTCCGAAGTTAGTTTCTCCGAGAGTATGGGATCGTTCACATAAATGCCCTTGTCCGCAAACCTTGCATTTAGCTTGTTTCCCAACCTAAGGTCAGTGATGTGACGATGCCCTCGGTAGGTCGAGGTCCTCGAATCCGGAGCCGTTGCGTTGGCCGGGCGCTTGTAATCAAAGACGCCGAATTCATCCATGGCTTGACGATTTTTGAACCAAAAAACAAACAACTAGAGGAAACTGAAGAACTTTGGGAAGAAGCACAATTTTCAGCAGCGGTGGGGAAGGAATCTCCTTGGGACGCTAAATTTTGGAACGTTTTATGTATCCAGGCTACCGAACCGATACCAAGCAATGCTAGTATACTAACTGCTAACAAACAGCCCGCCTTCTGTACAATATTTCTTGTTTATATTCTGCTTCAAATGCAAGTGTTTACAATATAGTTGTAGTTTATGCTTTAGAGAGGAATGCTTGTTTGACAAATATAAAAGCGCTCTGTTCACAAAACAAATAGATATTCGTTAATATAATACGTGGGCTAAGGTAATAATGTTGCACACGATCTGGCCTGTGCAATAATAAACTGTTTGCTTAGCAATAAACAATTGATTTACTTCGTCTCCCGGGGGTGTGTTATCGATGAGGAATGCGTTTCAATGGGGTGTGTAAACAATGTGCGGATGACTCATTTTCCTATCCCTCATCCACTTCCGGCTCCTCCGCCTCCGGCTCCCCGTCTCAGGCAATCTCTTTGAGCGCTAGCAGCGATTGGCGCAAATATTCGTACTGGGTCTTGGCATGCTTGATCTCCAAGTCAGAGAGTTCCACGAGGCTTTAATTGGAGAATCGGAAAATTAGTAAATTAAACATTTTAAAAATCGAAACTTACCTCTTTTTAAAAGCAGCTACCCGTCGGTTGCGGAATCCAATTAATTCCTCCTTTCCGCAGGCAGACATCGACTCGAACTTTTCACAAGCTTCCGCTTGAGCAGTCTCGGCCTGAACAGTGGTTAATTATAATATATTAGTGATGTTTTAGTTCTATTACATTGGGCCACAAAAAGGACATGCTAAAGTGAATAGGGGTGGAGCAACGGTGGAAGGCATGCAGCAGTTACGTGGGGTGGAGACACATCTACTAAACCGACGATTAAAACTTTAAATGCCAAATACCTCTTGCACCTCCAAAGGCTGCAGAAACAGAACCACAAATACGCACAAATAGTGAAGAGGGAGGGATAGGCAGAGCAGAGAGCAGAGCAATGTGGGATTGTGGACGGTAGAAATAAAATACAAGAACGCAAATATGTTGTTGTTTGTAATTAGTGAAGCGTGAGAATTAATTGCCCCGCTGTAAAATTTTAAGGGGAGAACAATCGCTCTTAGAACGATCTGAAACATAGTTTTGAAAAAACGTATTCTAGACTTTAATTAATCTTACCGCATGAACATCTTTGTTTTTGGATCGGGCCTTTTCCAGGTTTCGATTGGCGGTCTCGTAGGCGGCCAAACATCTTAGACGCCGGATTAGTAGAGCTTTCGCAGCGTCACTATCCCGTTGATAATAGCGCAATGTGTCCCCTAGCTTAAGGTCCTGATCACTAGCTACTCGGGTCTCCAGATTCTAATAAATATTAGGAAAGGACCTCTTCTTATTAAAGAATGACACAAATGAAATCTTTTACTAGTCATGCCCACCTTGATCCTTTCAAATATCTCCGCCGTCTTAGCCACAAAAGTCTCCATATTCCCCTTTTCTGTGGTCGAGAGCTGCGTCAAGGCATTTGAAATCTTTTGATGAGAGTCGCCAACATCCTTGTGGCGTTGTGTCATTTTCTCCGTCCTGATTGCTGCCTCCCGCAAATGACCGTGGTATTCAGTGAGGAACTGCAGCTCGTTCTCGAAGAAGTCATTCACATCTCGCACAGTGGCACTCAGCAGAATCTCGTCTGTGGTCTTGCCGAGGGATTTAACAAAGCCTCCGAAAATGGCCATCTTCTTGCGTGGTTTAGCGCACAAATCCTGGTCATACTCTAGAAATACCTTTAGGTGCTGGTCAACGCGAAAGACAGGATGACTTGCCAGGCGGCGCAGGAAAACCTCGTGCATGGCCACCGTCTTTTTGAAGGTGGCCAGGTACTCGCTATAAGGTAGACATGAACTAAATGAGTATGCGCAATAAATATAAGCAATAATTTTTACTTACGCCTCCAGCTCTGACTTCATCTTCTTGAACTCCTCTTTGGTCATGTTACCCTCTCCTTCACCAAGGCGCTGTAACTTTTCACGAGACGCATCAAAGTCCGGACGAGGTGGACAGGGCGGAATCTATGTTAAGTTTCGACAAATAATCAGCATATCAATGTCATGGACCACAAACTTACAATGTAGCCGGCGTAGTCGTCGTTCTCCTCGATGCGATCGTGTAGCCAGACAAACTCCTCGTGCTGGCGCACTACATTGTTATCCTTTTTCGTGAATCCCGGCAGAGTGGTGCGGGTATGCACTGTGAACTTGACCTTTTCCTTTTCGCTCAACGCATCGGAAATCTCCACGTGGAGGGCGTTCTCGCCGAGAACTGCAGGCGTGGCCGGGGCGGAGGAGGAGCTATCCGGCGATGTGGCAGATCCGCTGCCGTTTGTGGCGCCACTTAGTGCGGGTGCTCCGCCTGTTGCTGGTGGATTAACCAGCGGATTTGTGGGCGAGGCGATTTCTATTGTTGCGCCATTGTTGGCGGAGGGACTATTCAGCAGATTTGAGTCATCGATGCCGTCCTAGGGGGCAAAAAATCATTAACTGATGTGGACTCTAATTACGCCCATTTTTTTTTTAATGATAAGGTTTTCTTTGTTTGCGGGCGGGGCGTCGTTTTGGATGCCACGAAAGAGAAGTACTTTCATGTACTTTAATTGTTTAAATAATACTTCTATTATGAAGTTTCGTTGGGCTTATGATTTCACTTACCATCATTTTGCGGCCGAGTAAATAACAATCGAATTGGGCTAAAAAATATTATTATAAATTACAGAGCTTGACAGTGATGCCAGATGGCAATACGGCTTCCCCAAACAAAGAATTCTTTAAAAATTCAGTATGTGAACATTTTCTGGTCACACTGCTGGTTAACATGAGTTATTATTATGAGTTCATGGGTTGTAACAGTGGGAAGAAACGGAGTGGAAAGTTAACATTGCACTGCAACTGTAGTGAAAACAGCCGAAAGAACTAAATTATTACCAAACGGTGGAATAAATTATTATAACAATTATTTTTTGAAGCGAAATTGAAATGAATGGTAATTAGATTAAAAACATCAAATACTTATGGTGAGAACCTATTTGTTGAAAAGTAAGTTAAGTCCGCCTGACAGTATTCTCGTTTGTCCGTATGTACGCTGAGATGTTAGACTATAAAATTTACAAGAAAATGTTCATATTTAAACCTAATTTCGTTTTGGTTTTATGGCGTTAAATGGGCTGCTACTCCACCATCAGTTATTAATCATTGGTTTAATGGTTTGAGCTACAGATGACGCTATTAAAAAAAGGCATTCCTTCCAGTTTTTCCATTTCTTTTTAGATCAATGAATTTGAAGACCTATATTGTTTTAGATGCCCATCATAGACAACAAGTTTTGATATTTCTTTATTATTCGTATTGTATTTAAGTAGTATACAGTATAGTATAGTATAGTATAGTACAGTATAGTATATACATAATAGAAGACAATTATTTATATAGATAAGTGTAATCGACTATTTATAATTGAAACATCATTGTATATAACGTGGAGTAAGTGTGTGGTTCTAAATCTATATCAGAATTATGACAATGCCACTACATATTATTGTTTTAAAAGGACATATTCCACCTAGCCTGTTTGGGGGTCTTAGTCTTAAGATAATGGCTGCAGGACCTTCTAATACCTTTACTTCTCATGAGTAGTTGTATGGTAGATGGGATTTGAGAAGGCTGCTGTCGGTGCTCTAGGCCCACAATCAGTTGTTGTGGAACGGAGGTGCACCATGTGTATCTCTTCCGAAGCCTTATCCGTTGGATCCATTTTAGGCATGGCGTTCTTCTCGTTTAGGTTACTGGGATTGTTACTTAACTGTCTTGGCGTTGGGGCATTAAAATCAGGAATGGAATAACAGTTCTGTCCCATCATCGCTAGATAATCCGTGGTTTGGTCATTCATGTGCTCCATGTTGCTCTTCTCATACTGGTCGTTCAAAACCAGCAAGTACTGTAAAGTACAGAAATTATCTGAATTACTTTTGTTATTTAAATGTTACTCGCTTACTTTGGCTTCATCTTCGCCCAGCATGTCGGCAAAACGTGTTTCCAGCTCAGCGAACAAAGGTCTGCTCTCAGGACTATAATAATAGTTTGTAAATTAAATAATTTAGTCAGATTATATAAAGAAGATATACACTTACTTCTTCCGCCAGCATTCCAGCATAATCTCGTAGAGCTCTTGGTTAGCATATGGCGGCTTCTCCATTCGGTATCCATCGTTCAGTTTTTTAAACAGCTCATCATTGGATGCAATTCCCGGATACGGAGCCATAGCCAACGAGAACAATTCCCAAAGGAGAATTCCATAGGACCAAACGTCACTGTATGTGCTGTATACATTATCAGTTATCGACTCCAAGGCCAGCCATTTGATAGGCAATTTGCATGCTCCTAAAAATAATTTAAAAGCAGAAATATTCTTAAATCGTAGATACATTGACCCAGTATACATTTCTTAAAACAGACCATACATCACTACTAATCAACATCATCTGTTAGTGGAATATGTTTTGAGGTCAATAAACTTCTTCACAAATTTTAAATACCTGTTCTCATGTAGGCCCCTCTATACATCGATCGAGATAGACCAAAGTCGCATATTTTTACGACTTTGTTCTCGCAAAGAAGAATATTCCTGGCAGCCAGATCACCGTGCAAGACATTTCGTAAGGACAAGAACTTCATGCCGCAGGCCACTTGGAATGCCCATCTGACCAAGTCACTAGTGCTCACCGTATTCGCCTTCATGGTGTCCGATTCCAAATTGGAACCCGATGCTGCTTGTATTGAGGGTATAGGTAAATTATTATTGTCTGTAGGAAATGACACGAAATTAAAATTATATGAAAAACAACATAGCATAACAAAATTCATACATAGATGATGATTTCTTCTTTTGGATCAGACCTACCTATTCGTGTTCTTTCAAGGGTACCATTGTCCGAGCTCCCGCCTGCACCATTTGAATCGCTGTTAGTTGAATTTTAGTTGCCACCACAAGAACACAGGGGTGGAGAAATAGAGTGGGAAGCACAGAGGAGACCACAACCAGGAGCGGGATTACAAGCACAGGCGGAAAACATTCAGTGTTTTTTGGGTTAACGGATTGGTTGATGGTTAGTCGGTGGATTAATTTTAGCAAATACCAAAACCAGAAAGCAAAACAACATAAAAGTTAATAGGAATTAAGTGACCTTTGAGGTTACATTATTTAGATTATTAAACTTAAAGGGTTGTTAGCTACCTTATTGACCCGTCATTAGCCCGAGTCATTATTTTCGGATCGATGCGATCGGTATCTAGACTGATTTGATTTATAAAGCTATTCCTGTTTAGCCGAAGGAAGTTCTGAAGATTGCCAAAATGACAATATTCTACTATAACCAAAAAGTCGCCTGAAAATAGATAGATATATGTTAATTAAAAAAATATTGCTATTGCTAGTACATTTATAATTTTTATAATTGTTATAATAATTTCGCAATATTATTTTGAAGTGTTTTTTTAAATTTTTTTGTAGTTTTTAAGTTCGGCTACAACAATCTTTAACTTACGTTGCTCTACATTTTTGGTCACGGCTCCCAACAGATTTACCACATTCCGGTGCTGGCCAAGATGGACCATTATCTTAAGTTCGGAAACTAGTGCTTTCACAACATCGTCGTCGGCCGTTCGGTTCACCATCTTAACCGCAACGGTAGTGAGGGGCTCCTCCTTTCGAATGTCCTTAGCCTTTCCCTTCAGAACCACACCGAAGAATCCAGCTCCTAGCTGTCCTTCCAGTTCTAAGTTTTCCCTCGGAAACTCGAATCGCGAGTTATAGGGCAAACGATCAGCCTGCTCCTTCACGTTGAGATTCGGATCAATGTTGTCCACATCACCATTCTGGAAGTTAGTTTTTAGCTTAGAATGCAGCTTGTGGTAGCGAACAGCAAGGAAGAGACTTATGCCAATAAGGACGAGGAATAGTACAATACAGAATAGCACCCATCCAATGCTCATAGCAGGCAGATCTGAAAAATATTTAATAAAATGTATTATGAGTTCTTTCATTTCTGAGAGTCAAAAGGTTTGATAGGATAATTAAGGATGCGAAATAAAATATGATTAAAATCTCATTGCAGCTTTACCTGAAATAACCACCGTAAAGGATCTCTCGATCTTGTCCAAACGGTTCTCCACCACACACCTATAGACACCTTCGTCCCCGGGATAGAGGTGCGTGATGAGTAGCTTGGACTCCTTTTCTATGATATGCCTGAGTTTCGATTCGGTGAGCTCCTTGTCGTCTTTGAACCACCGCACTGTGGCCAAGGGAACTGCCGTGGAGGCGCATTCCAGCTCCAGAGTTTGGCTCAGTTTTCGCTTGACTTTTGAGTTGCCATTCTGGTTGGCGTTTACCCACTGAGGTGCCAAGGGATCGTGGACGTGTAAGGCAATCTCTTTGCTGCTGTACACAGAGTGGCTCACGTTACGGTAGGCCCGGCACTCGTATGTTCCTCGATCATTGTCGGATATAGAAGTAATACGCACAGTGCTTTTGTAGGAGTAGTCGGTTTGGCTAGTTTCGATTGAAACCTCTGAGGAATAAGTTGAAAGTAATTTAAAGTTAAAGCCGTTTATACTAGGTGGCTTAATTTGTACTAAAAATAGGCTATGCACAAAGGACAAAAAAGCTTTAAAGTATCTTACGTTTGGACTCCTCCAAAGCCTCGCCATTAATGAACCATTTAAGATTTCCATCGAAGTGGTAAGCCAGCGCCTCGCAGGTGAAATTCACATCGTCTTCTTTGGCGATCTTGTGATCCCTATCAAAGCCATATATGGTCATGTTCTCGGAGATGTTGCCCAGCAATACGTGCGCCTTGGTCATTGTCCTTCGTTCCTTTCCGTCCACCAGATTCTGAGCTACGCAGGTCAGGATTCCCGGCTCCGTGGGCAGGAAAGCTACTTCGTATATGGTTTCCACACTCAGTTTCCCGGGTCGCGGCTTGGACTGGAACTGTGGGTCGTGCAAAAAAGGATGTTAGATACCACTCGAAGGTTTTGAAAGGGGGTTGTGAAGAAATAAGGTACCTGATACTTTTCCTGTTCACTTGGCAGCTGCAGGACGACAACACCGAAGCATAGGACGACACAGTAAAAGCAGTTGGGTGAGGATTAAAGGGACAAACACAAATGTTTAGTTGTCAAAATGGATTACAATAATGTTTTGGATTATATCCCTTATTCCGGAAACAAGGATATATTCTTAAGATTAAATATAAACATGATACTTACGCCAAAGTCCTGGTTGAAAGAGGAGCAGGTAGGCCAGTGGGGCACCAGCTTGCAGGGTCGGAATAAGAAGGTGACAATCGCCGGTGGATAGGCGCGGACGGTGCACTCCATTCGAGCCACGGATCCCACCTGAACGTAGGCGTCTGACATCCTCAGTTCTGGGGCATCAATCACACTCACGTTGTACACACGATCTACGACCCCGAAGGAATTCGAACCTCGAAGGACATAGGAACCGCTGTCCTGCAGATGGGCATTCAGCACCTGAAGCATTGTGCTCTGCTCCGTGGACTGGATATTGAAATTGCTCTCAGACTGCCTGACCTCCGTTCCGTCCGGCTTAAACCAGCTGAAGGTGGGCGTGGAAAAGCCTTCGTAGTTGGCTGTCATCTGGATCGTGCGGTTGGCGAATTCCTGCACATTGTAATGACCTAAGGGATCGCTCACATTCAAGTAGCTTTCGCCTTGTCCTGCTTATTGGAATTGGTAGAAAAAGACATATTTCCATATTACTACTATTGATAAAACGCATTTTCATATGTTTGGACACTCGCCTAAGACTCTAATCCTGTAGGTGGTCCAATGTTCCTTATGTTGTATCTTGTCTGTGGTCACGCACTTGTAAACACCGGTGTCTGAGGGTTGGGCGTTATATACCGTCAAAGTGCTCCTGCCTGTCTGATAGGTGTTATTCCTAGACTTTGGGTCGATTTCTGCGTTGGAGATTTTTATGCGATCCTGTAAGAAAGTATTACGATTGGTTTTTTGCTTCTACTTTGATTAAGACAATACAAATTTCTAGATATTGTTTAATTAACTATTTTATATTTAAATTATTTATGGTTTTTTAGTATTATACTGGACGATATCTTAGAAAATAGAGCGGCTAATTGGTTTTAGTGATTTCGATTTACTTACCTTTAAGCTTGACGGAGTGATCCACTTTATTACGTACATTGCTTTAATATAGGCGGTTTGTTCGCACACGAGAGTGAAGTTGGTATCCACGAAAACGTGGTGTTCTACAGACGTCTTGATCACGGGCATCGGTAGTGGCTTGCGCTCTTTGTAGTAGCATTTATAGAAAGTTTAGATTTGTAATATATTTTTTAGGAAGGACAGTGGCTTTGGAAGACAAAGAATTAGATGAAATATGTTACCATAAAAGTGCACTTCTATGCTGGTTGACTCCTCTTCGTTATGCGGGTAGGGCGGATTGGGCCAGCAATAGTAATCGCCGCCATCTAGGATGCTGCGGATTTCGATGGTGAATCCCCGTTGCGGATTGTACCGACCGACAGATTTGCTGGAATGCATCTGCACAGAGGCATGTACAAGGTCAGATATCGGGTAATCAAATGGAAGCCTAACAACGTATTAACTTTCTGCTGCCTATCAATGCAGTTGTGGGACTGGAGCTGATTGGTTAAGACTACGCTAAAATAGTTTTATATCTGGGAAATGGATCGACTGTACAGATATATATATATATATATAAATATATGAGATATAAGGGGCTAACTACGAATCTACATTCTAGGACAAACTGTAGCATACTTGGAATGTATGTAACATTGATTATCGTGAAATTTATCGGCCGTGCAGTCGTAGTAACCGGAAAAAGGATCAATGACAGGGCATGTTAAGCCCCACCTGGGTTCGTACCTCACATTCTGGAAGAACTTGGGATTACCTTCAACCTTTTTCACAAAAAAGAAAATAAAGGAAAGTGATGAGTTTGTAGGTTATACTACTAAGCCCGCAGCATAAATCCCTTGGGCTATTGATCCGGATGATTAACTGTATAAAATTTAAATTTATTTCAATGTAACGGCTCGTTGTTTGCCTCTCGTTTGAAGTTCGATGTCTCGTTTCTAGTTGATTTACAGTTCGGTATTTTGTCATGTCAAGCTAGTACGAGTACGAACAGATAATTTTAACAAAATTTAAAAAGGAAATGAGGCAAAGCTATCTATCTGAAGAAGAAAAATAGACAACTTAGCTCGAACATGAACTCTGACGAAATGATAAAAGGTGTAATTATCGATCTGACACATACATATGGTACATGTAATATATGCATGTATACATATATAACGTAACGGGCCTAAATAATGGATTTTTGCTCAAAAATCATATGCATCAAACATTATGTTTTTGGAATGATTTTAAAAGAATTTAACATCTGGTCTTTTCTACTTACATCTTTATTATTGTGCTGCAACACCACCTCCGTGTCAGGCATCGCTGGTTTGCAGGGTATGACCACTTCGGTGTCCAGCAGAGCCATGACTTGACTATCAACGGGTACCAGCTTATTCTGTGGGTCGTCCACGTACACATAAATGGAGCTAGCTTTGCCCTGCCTCACAAGCTTGACCATCGTGTCTACTGACCTATCGCCTTCATCAATCTGGCTAAATTCGGAATCCTTCACGCAGAAATAGGCATCCACATCATCGGCAGACAGCTCGAATAGTTTTAGGCTGGTGCCATAGGGTCGCTCTGAATCCTCTGTGTTGTCAAAGTATTCCCCTATGGATTCTCTCGGGTGGTTGGTCCACCAGCTCATTGTCTCGTTGCCCTCGCATTTCAGTGTAGTAGTTGTCTGGGCATTCAGAATTATGAAGTTCTTGCAGGGTGTCATCAGGGGAGCTCCATTCTCACCACCGCAGTTTTCGGTAAGGTCATCGGTATCCGCCGAGAACTGAATCGTGGGTACTAAAAGGTTGTGGAGTATGAGAATTTGTTACAACTTTTACTTTAAATTCATCGCAGTTTTTAATAAAATCTTCTGCACCCGAATAAGCTTTTACTAAATATGTAGAGTATAATAGGTAATTAATTATTTTCAAGTTTATTTTAATTTTATTACATTCATAATATTTTTATAAAAGTCTTGCGGTATTTTCGCTAGTTGGCGCTGAAAGCGCTTAGTTCTTGTTTTATTCGTCGCATCAGGTCATGCTATACTTGTTTGGAAATTTAGCTACCATTTTTCTTTAAGTCGTGCGGAGTTATAGCGTCGCAGTCATACAAAATAATAAATACGGCATTTTGACAGTAACTACATAAAGGCAAAAATGCATCTCAAGCCGTCAATAAAATTTGTGCAGTTTATGGACCCGATACAGTTTCCATTTCCACCGCACAACGATGGGTTCAACGTTTTCGTTCTGGTGTAGAGGTGGTCGAAGATGCGCCACGCTCCGAGTTTTTTGCCAATAGGGAAGCGAGCTTCTATGAGAGGGGCATTATGAAGTTGGCATCTCGTTGGGAACGCGTCATCGAACAAAACAAAAAATATTTGACTTGAATCGCATTATTGTAACCAATTTTATACCGCAACACTTTTTTGACAACCTAATATATAGATTTAAGAGAGATTTTAGATTTATATATCTTTTCCTTTTTGGCTTTCGCTTCAATTATTAATTTATAGCAACAACAATAGACGTGACAAAAAATAATTAATAAATAATAACTCAAGATTAACTAAATTGGAAAGCTCTAAAATTCGGAGATTAATCGGCTGGAGTGCAAAGTTCTCAGCGTTGTCAAATTAAGACAATTGAACAGATAATGGCGCCATATAGCGAACAGACGTGTTGTCACGATTTATTAAAATGAAATATAACAAAAGATTCGCCTTGTAGCACTTATTGAAATATAACAAGAGTTTAAAATACTGCTGATAGATAGTAGATTCTATAAAAATGTTAAAGGTTATTCTGAAAATGTTTTTTCTTATTTGCGCAAACTGAAATCTTTATCCATTCTGTGTTTTTTTGAGGTTTTTTTCTTTTCTGTTTCATTTTATTTTTCGTATGGTCGCGGTTTATCATTTTTTATTGAGATTTCAAGAAAGCAATTTACATGTATAACTCCATGAGGTTCCAATGAGAAGCATTGTCAAAATAATCCTCCAGGGAACGAGTGCCATGTGGCTCAATTTGTTATTTAGCTTTGCGGCTCTAGATTTTTACAATTGAATTCTCATATTTAATCACAATTAAAACACTTTTATTTATTTTATTTAAATTCGGTTTATTTGGTTAACTTTATTTTCGCGTTGTTAGAAATCACTTTCCGTTTCGTTTTAAATCAACTGTAGTTCACGACGCTTTGAAGGGGAATGAGAGATTAATTCGGCAGCCGAGGCTCTAATCGGCAAATTTAAGTTTTAAAAGTTTTTGTTGGTATATACTGTGTCTGTTATCGCTAATTTGTAGTTTGTTTAAAAACATTATTTAATTTTTTAATGAAATCCACTCGTAAAGTTCCTAATTCCATATATGTAAGCACAGTACGTAAATAGAATCTCGGTTCGCCTTTTTGCCTTCTCTCTCTGGCTTGCCATCAACATCGCTATCTTCACACTACTCTTAAACGGCGGCATGCTATTATACCTTCATATCTTAAATATTAAATACATGTTTATTAATGAAAATGTGCATTTTTAAACCAAAGTGAGATATCAGGACACTGCAGAACTTGGTTTAACTTTTTCTTAACAATACGGGTTTTTAGTTGAGGTGACAACAGATTGATTATCGACAAATCGATAGTTTGGACGGGGATCGACAGAGGAAAGTCCGACTGTTAAGTCTGCTTTGTAATTCCGAAGTGTCAATCCTGATTTATTTAATCCCGATTAAATAAAAATTTTTTTAAACTAATGCAAACGGAAAAGCAAACGCGTAAAAGGGGCAAAAACTTTGCTATTTCCGAAGAGATGAAACTGCTGGAGCTTCTTCAACCCTACAAGCACATCATCGATAATAAGTGCTCCGATGTGGTCACTTGCCAATTAAAGAAGGACACTTGGGAGAAGTTATCCCAGCAATTATCTAACCTCACTGGCTCACAACGATCCTGGAAAACTCTCAAGGATAAGTACAAGAACATGAACACCAAGCTTAAGAACGAGGGCACAATGCTGCCCAGATTTCTCATGGCGGAAGAGTTTGATCCAGTCAGCAGTTGTGTTTCTGTGGTGTATGATAACATTCCAGATCCTGGCAGCTCACTGGACAGCGAACGGCTGGATCACCAAGGTAAGGGAGTGTTATTTTTGTTTACCCTCAAAGAACTTTTTAAATTGTTACACTTTCTATTTTCAGACGATAGAACTTCCCCTATTCAAACAGAATCAATCGATGAGGTTTGGTGTTCAGATTCACTTATATTTAGTGTCCTTTCAATTTAAACTTATTTTAGGAACCGTCCTACGGAGTTTGCGGAAAAATTCCGCTGGCAACCGAATCCCAGTCCTCACTCTCGCCCATCAGGGAAAACAGATCTTTGGACGATGAGAAAATTACGTTAATTCGGCTTCAACAGAGATTTTATTACAATGAAAATATCAGATCTGCTGAGAAACACCGCCTGGAGCTACGGTCAATTAATCTGAAGAACGAACTCATGGAACTAGAACTAGAAGAAAAACGACGTTGCATTAGAAAAGATGCCGCAAACGAAGTCAAGTCCAACTCACTTGAAAATTAACAATAAATAAATAACAAAAGGTCTGTTGATATTGTTATTATACTCATTGTATTTGAGTAGTCGTAGGTACATGCATACATAATACAAGACAAATAATTACATAGATAAGTATAACCGACTTATAACTAGACTTAGTTTAAACATGAAATGGCATTAATAGTATATAACATGGAGTGAGTGTGTGGTCCTAAAGCTATATCAGAGTCTTGACAATGCCACTAAGTAGTATCGTTTTTAAAGGCCCCCATAACAGTGAAGTTCAAATTTTACAAATTTTGAAATATATCGTGCTGTGTCGTTTTCCAAAGGTTTTCCTTAAGCCAATTATGGTCACTACATTAGAAATTTGTTTAGCAGATAACTTTATGTTTTAATTTATTACGTTATCATTTTCTAATTTAAAATTGAATTAAAACTCCAACTAGGCTGCGTAGAGGCTTCGTCTTAAGCTAATGGCTACGGGACTTTCTAATACCTTCGCTGTTCCTTCTCGTTGACGGTAGACAGTGGTTGGTAGCTGGGATTCGAGAAGGCTTCCGTGGGTGCTACAACTCCACCACCTGATGTGCTTTTGCCAGGGATATTCTTCCTTGGCGGCTTGACATTCACATAGTTTTCGGACGACTCTCCGTTGAGTTTTGTCTCCACATGATGGCGGGGGGAAGGCGTGGGCGTGACATACTGCTGCTTGAGGCCCTGATTGAATCGCCTCCTCTGCTCTGGACTCTGGTAGCCATCATCCGATCCGGCGGAGCGGCGGTGCAGCATGGGTATCTCCTCCGGAGCCTGATCCGCTGCATCTACCGTTGGCATGCCGTTTTTCTTGCGGAGCGGCTTACTCGATCCGCTATTTAGGTTGTTACTTAACGTAGGCGACTGGCGCGCCGCTGGGAAATTAAAAGTTGTTTCGCTTGAGAAGTCCGGAAAGTCGGAGGCCTCGCCTTCGAGGCGCGTGGGTGAGAATATGGCTGTGCTGGCATCGGGATCGGAGTCCGGGCTCATCGCCACATAGTCGTCCGGCAGCTCCTCGATGCCTGAGTTAGTGTGCCAGCGTGAGTGGGTGCATTTGGATGGTCAGATGGATGTGATTGTGCGGAGTTAGTAACCTGAACGATGGCCATGGCTGAAAGAATACTCACGGATATCGGGCACTATGTGTCCGTTTACGTAGCGCGGGGCTGCGGGCGCCAGCTCGTCGGGGGATCCCATCAGTGCAAGGTAATCTGTAGACTGGTTCTTCATGGACTCCATGTTGCTTTGGAGATACGGATTGTTCAGGTCAAGGTAGTGCTAGAATGTACAGGTATTGTATTATAAACTACTCTAATTTGTATGTTTCTCGCTTACGTTTGCTACATCTTCGCCCAACATGTCGGCAAAACGCTTTTCCAGCTCAGCGAACAAAGGTCTGCTCTCAGGGCTGGAATAATAGTTTGTAAATTAAATAATTTAGTCAGATTGTATAAAGAAGATATACACTTACTTCTTCCGCCAGCATTCCAGCATAATCTCGTAGAGCTCTTGGTTGGCATATGGTGGCTTCTCCATTCGGTAGCCATCGTTCAGTTTGTTGAACAGCTCCTGGTTGGGATCAATGCCCGGATACGGGACCTTTAGCCAGCGAGAACATCTCCCAAAGAACGATTCCATACGACCAAACGTCGCTGTACGTACTAAAAACATGATCGCTAAGTGACTCCAGCGCAAGCCACTTAATGGGCAGTTTTCCGCTCTCTGAAATCACAATGAAAATTGAGTCAATGAAGTGTAAAATATGTGTGTAAGAGTAGATATTTCCTGACCCTAAGCCGGCATTCAGCTTCGGCCAATTTCTTAAAGTGACTATACCTGATTTTTTGTAGTTATCTCCTCGATACATGGACCTAGCCAGACCAAAGTCACATATCTTTACGACATTATCCTCGCATAGAAGAATATTCCTGGCAGCCAGGTCACCGTGCAACACTTTCTTGGAAGACAAATAGTCCATGCCGCGGGCTACTTGGAAGGCCCAACTGATCAAGTCAACGGTGGTTACTGTCATCGCCTCTGTGGTGTCCGTCTTGTAATTTGAACGCCAGGCTGGCTGTATTGAATTATTGGACATTACTTGATCATCTGTTGAGAATGATATGAGATTGAGGTCATTAATTAATTGGGATTACAAAAAGATGAAGTTTAGCTTGCGCTCAACAATATTTTATATAAACTCTTGTATCTTGATAACTGATTTGTGGAAACCTACCTTCTGGTACGGTGGTCATCACGGTTGCACAGGTATCCATCTGGCGGTCGTAGCTGTAGGTTGCCGTACCGGATCCCGGTCGTCCGGCTCGGGTGCCCAATCGGGGATCATTGTCCGAGTTTCTGCGATGAGGTGGCGGTTGCGTGTTATTGTTGTGGAGTTCATTTATGTACGAGTGGTTCGGGAAAATGACATTGGCGTACTTCAAGCTGCCACCATTCGCATCGCTGTTAGTTGATGTTTAGTTGCCACACCAAGTACACAGGGGGAGACACATAGAGCGGGGATCACAGAGGAGACCACAACCAGGAGCGGGATCACAAGCACAGGTGCAAAACATTCAGTGGTTTTGTGTGTGTGTGTGTGGAGTTTATCAATAGTTAATTATGTTGTGGATCGTGTTGGGTTTATTGTTAGTCGGTGGATTAATTTTAGCATACCAAGTACCAAAACCAGAAATCAAAACAATATAAGAGTTAGTCAACACAATGCTTATCTAAGATAGGGTCAGTTAGCTTTGGGGTTTTAAATTTTAAATTCTATAAATTAATGGGTTGTTAGTCACCTTACTAGCCCGTTATTACTTACCGGTGCAGGTCAAAGTTGTCGGAAATGCGCTGGATCATGATTGTGGGATCAATGTGATCGGTATCTGGACTGATTTGATTGATAAAGCACTTCCTGTTCCTCAGAAGGAAGTTTTGAATATTACCGAAACGGCAATACTCTACTATAACCATAAGCTCGCCTGAGGAAAGATGAATGTTTATTAAAAATAAGATAAGGTATAATAATATTTGATTATTCTCTGATAATAAAACTTACGTTTGGCGATGTTTTTGGTGACGGCTCCCAACAGATTGACCACATTCAAGTGCTGGCCCAGATGGACCATTATCTTAAGTTCGGAAACCAGTGCTTTAACAACCTCGTTGTCGGCCGTTCTCTTGACCATCTTGACCGCCACGGTGGTGAGGGGCTCCTCCTTCCGAATGCCCTTAGCCTCTCCCTTAAGAACCACGCCGAAGGCTCCGGCTCCTAGCTGTTTGCCCAGTTTTAAGTTTTCCCGCGGGAACTCGAATTCCCGATTGTAGGGCAAAAGTTCAGCCTGTTCGTCGAGGGTCAGATCGGGATTAATGTGCCCCACGGCTCCCTCCTCAAAGTTGGCCAAACCGGCTGCCTTTAGTGCCAGATGACGCTTGTGCTCCTTTTGGTATCGAACAGCAAGGAAGAGGCACAAACTAATGAGTATTACGAAAAGTATCACACCTAACCACACCCAGCCCATGCTTATGCCGGGAAGATCTAAAAAATATTTAATAAAAATAAAGAAAAATATTAATTTCTTAGGGTTTTTACCTACGAGACTTTAGTTTTGTACTTGGGAATTAAAAAAAGATCTAAATGAGGACATACCCGAAATAACCACCGTAAAGGATCTCTCGATCTTATCCAAACGGTTCTCTACCACACACCTATAGATACCTTCGTCCCCGGGATAGAGGTGCGTGATGAGTAGCCTGGACTCCTTTTCTATGATGTGTCTGAGCTTCGATTCGGTGAGCTCCTTGTCGTCTTTGAACCACCTTACTGTGGCCAAGGGGACCGCCGTGGAGGCACATTCCAGCTCCAGAGTTTGGCTCAGTTTTCGCTTTACTTTTGAGTGGCCATTCTGGTTGACATTGACCCACTGAGGAGCCAAGGGATCGTGGACATACAAGTCTATCTCACGACTGCTGTACATGGAGTCGTTCTCGTTGCGGAAGGCCCGGCACTCGTATGTTCCTCGATCATTGTCGGATATAGAAGTAATACGCACAGTGCTTTTGTAGGAGTAGTCGGTTTGGCTAGTTTCGATTGAAACCTCTGAGGAATAAGTTGAAAGTAATTCAAAGTTTAAGCCGCTAAAATAATAACTATTAGTGAAAAGTATCTTACGTTTGGACTCCTCCAAAGCCTCGCCATTAATGAACCATTTAAGATTTCCATCGAAGTGGTAAGCCAGCGCCTCGCAGGTGAAATTTACATCGTCTTCTTTGGCGATCTTGTGATCCCTATCAAAGCCATATATGGTCATGTTCTCGGAGATGTTGCCCAGCAATACGTGCGCCTTGGTCATTGTCCTTCGTTCCTTTCCGTCTACCAGATTCTGAGCTACGCAGGTCAGGATTCCCGGCTCCGTGGGGAGGAAGGCTACTTCGTATATGGTTTCCACACTCAGTTTCCCGGGTCGCGGCTTGGACTGGAACTGTGGGTCGTTCAAAAAAGGTTGTTAAATACCACTCGAAGGTTTTGAAAGGGGGTTGTGAAGAAATAAGGTACCTGATACTTCTCCTGTTCACTTGGCAGCTGCAGGACGACAACACCGAAGCATAGGACGACACAGTAAAAGCAGTTGGGTGATGATTAAAGGGACAAATACAAATGTTTAGTTGTCAACATTGATTATTAATAATTATAGGGTGAAAGCTTACATAAAAGAATATAGATTCAGAACAGGTAATAGGATTCTTGTTTAAATTATAATTATAGCCCTTATTCCGGAAACAAGGATATATTCTTAAGATGAAATATAAACATGATACTTACGCCAAAGTCCTGGTTGAAAGAGGAGCAGGTAGGCCAGTGTGGCACCAACTTGCAAGGTCGGAATAAGAAGGTGACAATCGCCGGTGGATAGGCGCGAACGGTGCACTCCATTCGGGCCACGGACCCCACCTGGACGTAGGCGTCTGACATCCTCAGCTCTGGGGCATCAATCACACTCACGTTGTACACACGATCTACGACCCCGAAGGAATTCGAACCTCGAAGGACATAGGAACCGCTGTCCTGCAGATGGGCATTCAGCACCTGAAGCATTGTGCTCTGCTCCGTGGACTGGATATTGAAATTGTTCTCAGACTGCCTGACCTCCGTTCCGTCCGGCTTAAACCAGCTGAAGGTGGGCGTGGGAAAGCCTTCGTAGTTGGCTGTCATCTGGATGGTGCGGTTGGCGAATTCCTGCACATTGTAGTGACCTGAAGGCTCGCCCACATTCAAGTAGCTTTCGCCTTGTCCTGCTTATTGGAATTGGTAGAAAATGACATATTACTACTGTTGATAAAACGCATTATAATATGTTTGGATACTCGCCTATGACTCTAATCCTGTAGGTGGTCCAATGTTCCTTATGTTGTATCTTGTCTGAGGTCACGCACTTGTAAACACCGGTGTCTGAGGGTTGGGCGTTATAAACCGTCAAAGTGCTTCTGCCCGTCTGGTGGGTGCTGTTCCTTGTTCTTGGATCGGTTTCAGCTTTGGAGGTTCTTATGCGGTCCTACGGTTGAAATCGTTGTTATGCTTTACGCAAAGGATTGGATTATGTTATATACTGACCTTAGATCGGGACGGAGTAATCCATTCCATAACGTAGACTGCTTCGACGTGGGCGGATTGCTCGCACACGAGGGTGAAGTTGGTGTCCGTGATGACGTGATGTTCCACGGAGGACTTGATCACGGGCTTTGGCAGGGGCTTGCCGTCTTCTGTGGCGTTGGTAAAGAGTTTAGCTTTATTAGATACCCTTGGCAAAGGACTGGGACTGGCCAGCAATGCTACAGCTTCATGCAGATGGGTGGGTTAGACATAGACGTAGACACAAATGGGTTAGGGTTTTTACAGTACTTAGGCGGTAGGTGCTAGTTAGGGTTAGTAACAAATTGGGTTACTACTCTGTTAAAATCAGTCCATAACCAACTAAAATCGAACACAAAACGAGAAGGTAAGGGGTGCAAAATATAAGGCACAGTTAGGACAACACGACACGAACAGAAAAGAGAACAACAACAACCAGGACAACACTTACGCCCTGGTCTGGGTGAGGGCGACGCATTCATCGGAGCCAGACTGGCTGGACTTCGCTTTGCCCGATCCCAGGATAAGGCTCCATCACCACCATAGATTAGTGCCATTTTACCCGTCGATTGGTTAGTAAGAGTGAGGATTTCGTCATCGCCATCGGTGACACCTGGTGCATACGTATACCCCATGTTAGTCAAGGCCCCCGAAGTCGGCGGGCTGGTACTGGGAATTTCCAATCCGGATTCTGGAGGAGTTAGCAGATTAACGTAACATTGGGTAGGTGTACGATCAATCAATATTTTTTGGAGAAAGGTTGTGGGGGGTGGAACACAAAGGAGGGGAGAAATACCATTCGTTAAGACACTTATGTAAGTTGCAAGCTTTTTTAATGGGTGAGCAGCAAAAATGTTTAGCGATTGTGAATTGAGAAATATTTAAATGTTAAGAACCAAGTCGAAATTTTTATTAACATTTAGAGAACAATATGAATATCACCATGGAGAATTGTCTTTTCAAAAACATAAAAAAGTTTAAGTTTAATACCAAATTTCAAATCAGTTTTAAAAGTTTGTGAGAGTTAGCATACATAATTGAGTGCAGTGCAATTTCGTATTTAGGCTGTAGAGAGTGTGATTAAAGCCATGAATTTGGAAGAGATTAAGTTTGCATAGATTAGATCCTTGGGCTATGGAAAACCTAAACCGTAACCGAAACCGCTTCAGATGATCGATTCCGAAAAGAATTGTTGAAAAGTGGAAAGCAATATTTACGACATGTATAGACGGAAATCACAAATCACAAACTTTGGGGTGCAAAAACTCACTATCAATGTGACCGTTACCAATAAAGCGCACTTCTATGCTGGTTGACTCCTCTTCGTTATGCGGGTAGGGCGGATTGGGCCGGCAATAGTAATCGCCGCCATCTAGGATGCTGCGGATTTCGATGGTGAATCCCCGTTGCGGATCGTACCGACCGACAGATTTGCTGGAATGCATCTGCACAGAGGCATGTACAAGGTCAGATATCGGGTAATCAAATGGAAGCCTAACAACGTATTAACTTTCTGCTGCCTATCAATGCAGTTGTGGGACTGGAGCTGATTGGTTAAGACTATATAGTTAAATATCTGGGAAATGGATCGACTGTACAGATAGATAGATATTTATATACATATGTGGGCTATAAGGGGCTAACTACGAATTTAGATTCTAGGACAAACTGTGACATACTCGGTATGTATATAACGTCAATTATCGTGGAACTTTTCGGCCCAATGCAATCGTAGTAACCGGAAAAACGATCAATGACATGGAAGGTGAAGCCCAACATGGGATCGTACCTCACATTCTGGGCAAACTTTGGATGAACCTCAACCTTCCTTTTCGAAGAGATTTTCCAAGAACTCTGCGCGCCGAGAAAAGAAAATGATGGGTTCCAAGGTTATACCAGCAAGACTTTAGCAAGAATAAAATATGACTAATAAGAAACACTATAGTCGAAGGTCTCGACTATCAGATACTCCTTACTCTGTTTACCATCTGCTTAATAACTTTTTTATTATCAAATTTAACGTGTTTTGAATTAGTAATAATGACATTTGTCTAGCTTCTTTAATTGAGACCTTGAGATCTCAGCATTCATACGGACAGACGGACGGACAGATGGCAATGGCTAAATCGATTCGGCTATTGACCCTGATGTGGAATATTTATACTTTAATATATTTAGTATCGTCGAGTAGTTTATAAACATAAATATACTAGTAAGTAACACTACCAATAATAATTCTTTCTAGAATTTTGGCAAAAAAATCATTTGTAACCCCTTCCGCTTCGATTCCCTGTGCTGGATTCATGCAGGCCTTTTTTGGTTCATCAAACTTTATGTTTTTGGCATAATTTGAAAATTATTTTAAAACCTGATCTTATCCACTTACATCTCCAGTGTTGGGCTGCAACAGCACCTCTGTATCCGGCATCGCTGGCTTACAGGGTATGACCACATCGGTGTATTGCAAAGCCGTCACTGCATTTTCAATGGGCACCAGTTTATTCACCGGGTCATCCACGTACACATAGATGGAGCTAGCTTTGCCCTGGTTCACCAGCTCTACCATCGCCTCTTCCGGTCTATCCTCTTCATCTATCTGGCTAAATTCCGAATCTTTCACACAGTAATAGGCACCCACATCGTAAGCTGACACATCGAATAGTGTCAGGCTGGTGCCGTAAGGTCGCTCTGGATCCTCTGTGTTGTCAAAGGATTCCTTTCTGGCTTCTGTCGGGTGGTTGGTCCACCAGCTCATCGTCTCGTTGCCCTCGCATTTCAGTGTAGTAGTTGTCTGGGCATTCAGAATTATGAAGTTCTTGCAGGGTGTCATCAGGGGAGCTCCATTCTCACCACCGCAGTTTTCGGTAAGGTCATCGGTATCCGTCGAGAACTGTTTCGTGGGTGCTAAAAGGTTGGGGAGTATGAGAATTTGTTACAACTTTACTACTTTAAATTCATTGTCAAATACATTGAATTGAGATAAATTAGTTGATTGATTTATTAAATTGTTTCAGTGTAGACCAGAAGGTCAACTGTACTCATATTTTTTTCATTGATCGAATGCCCCACAACAAACCACTTCACATGCCGCTTTATCTATTGGCGAGCTCCAGCCGCCGGTTTCCCCTTCGGAAAACAATCCAACAGCCACTGGTGGCGCTATAATAATGACTTTAAGTGATTTGCGGTTGAGCGACCCTCTAGGGATCGCCATGGGCGCAGATGCAAAATCCTCTACCGATCGCATATTTCATATTTTATTGCCCGTCGCATCTCTATGGCTACGCCTTTGCTTTGGTCGCCCAAGTAGATTGTTTTGCCTTTTTGCTTCGGGATCAATTATTTGTTGACAGCGATAACAATGGACCTGATAGGCTTTATACTATAGTTGCCGCTCTGGCTACAAAAATAAGAGTGCATGTAAAAAACGATGCTCATAAATAGAAATCTAACCCGCACTTTAATTGAATAGGCGAAGATCATGTCGCGCCCGAAATTCGGCGGCTTATCAATTTGTATTCAAAGTTCAAAGCAGTTCAGACCTCAGCTCTGGGATCTGTCTAGACTGGTGAAAGCGTGAAGATGGGCAGATTATGGCCTTACACAGAGAGAATACAAATATATTTTAGCTATTGCCAAGTGATTATTATTGTCTTTTGAGCTAAATTTCATCGTTACAAGTTCTTAAGATTTGTACAAAAAGAAACTTAGTTTTGAACATGAAGATAACTATCTTTACGTCGATTTTCTCAGTGCTTAAAACAATAAAGAATGCGAGATTGCTGGCAGGAAGCAGCCCCCACATAAATATCAATGCATTTTGCAGATATGTTTGTTTTTAAATTGTGCAAATTGAAAGCGCTAGCCATGTTGTGGTTTTCAGGGGTTTCTCTTATCAATTCCAGGAAATTCTTCGAAATAAAAAATGTTTTATTATCGAGAAATATGGGTTTTTTTGAATGAGATTTGTGGAAGACTACTTACACGCGACGCTCAGCGAGATCCAGGCTAGCAGGGGCAGCAGCATCCTCCTCCGTAGCAGTGCCATGTGGATAGATTTGTTTGTTTGTTTTGCTGTTAAATATCGTACTAATTGTATTCTCCTAAATTTTAACAATTTAACACTTTTGGCCCAGAAATGCCATGGTCACGCTGGAAGACACTTTGCTCACTTAGCGCTGCACTGCAAGAAAAAGGAAGTTTGTTGCCTTGGTTAGAGTTGAAAACTTTTGAATTATTTCGATTTTATGTTTTGTAATTAACTTCATTATTTTTTTGTTTTTTGATTTTAATCACTTTTTATGCGTTTGTTTTATTATTATTTTAAAGGTTGTAAATAATGTTTTGAGGAACATTTTCGAAACATCGGTTAATGTTTATTGAAAGGTTTCATTATACATTTACTAGACAAACTTAAATGTCTAGATGATATTAAGCCTTCTTAAAAATAAAAATATTTTTATTGATTTAAGTACACTAGTATTCGCCCGTTATATATACTCGAATATATATATACTTGATGCTTTATTTCCATCGCTTTCAATCCGCTTTTCAAGCACAAACGAACAGCATAGCAGCCAAGCGAAGAGTAAAGATTTCTGCTGGACGGTTGGAGTAAGAAAGCGATAAGGAGTTCTGTTATATGCATATAAAGATGTATATATATATATATATATACACACATATGAGCTCTTCACTTCATTCAGGACCGATATGTTCTGATAAGTGGAAAACCGTTTTATACGTCAAGTACAAGATATTGTGCTTATGCATAAACAACAACAATAAGCATAAGTTTTCTCGGTTTTCAGACATTTCTTCATTTTTATTTGTGTCATTCCAAATCCGGAAATGAGAGCTTCCGGACGATATAACGCCCGAGGGAGGCGAGTGGGCCACACCTACGAGTGAGGCAACAGGTCATCCACGTGGCCATAACTCACTGTCACACACGCTGTTCCAGTCCAAGTCACTAAATGACAACGGGACATGCACAATTAAACAACTTGAACTAACTACTCTCCACACAGCAAAAAAATAAATAAAGATAAAATTAAAAACATAAAAACAATGTCCCATGGCTATCTACTCGAACATTTATGCCCTTCTTGTGGAGCGTATTGATAATTTTAAAAGAAGGAGAAGTTTGCAGCGCGTGAAGAAAACATTTCCGACTGAGGGTTGATTGCGGATAAAATGTTTGCCAAAAAGCTTGTTTTCTTAATTCCTTTTTTATATTTCATTAAAAACGTGTGTGCCATTGGAAGAGATTTGCTAAAAACATATCTTCTTATCAAGATTTTTGAACAAGAAATTTTTAAAGTTTGGGCATTTAATCTGGAAGTATAGGATTAACAAAATGGCATTTCCTTTGCGAAGATTTTATTTATTTTATATTTTTTAATTTGAAAGGCAAAAGTACAATAAATAATATGAAAATACGTAATCCTTTAATCCAGTAAACTAATATTATTATATACATTTCTCACTGTGTGAGTAACCGGCGCCATCGTTTGCCGGCAATTAGAGCAAACGAGCTGACTGCTGATGGGCAACTTCCGTGGTGATGTCGTAAAAATGTAATCCCTCTCAGCCAGAGACAACAACAAGTGTCCCGACTCCTCGCTTGACATCAATAAACTGGAATTTAATTTGCGGGCAAACTTTGTGGCCACACCTCCAACGCCTTCGTGATGACATTTTGGCCTAGTCGACTTTTTGTGGCTAATTGCTAGATGGTCAGCAAATAAAGCCATTCATCTTTGTCACAACCGTTCAGTCGAGGTCAGTGTCAGTTCTTAGCCCGTTCGGTCGTTTATTGGCTAATTGAAATCGCCCTGGTTTCACCTGTCGCACATGTCCAGGCCCGACCATGAGCATTGCGGATTAAACGGAATCAACTGGCAAATATTGACTTGGTCGCTAATCACCTGTGAGGAGTAGCTAATGGCACGATGAAAAGGCAGAAATGTAAGGATTGGCCCAGTGCTTTGCTGAATACACTTCAAGTCGAGTACTTTATTTATATTTTCTTGTTTTTTCATCGTTCTCTTATTTATATTTCAAACATTATGTATTAAACTGCAAAAGCATATCAACATCGGCATGTCGAAGCTAGCTTCTTTCTGTTGTTAGTTTTATTTTACTGCGAAGGGAATTATATACAAATTTTTCTGATATAAAAATATTTCCGGTTTTTCGAACTCATTTCGAAACTAGAATCATTTTTTATTTAAGGCGATTGTAAACTTTTTCATTTTCTAAAAGAATTCGGAAATCGGTTTTTTCTAAAAACTCAATCTTCTGTAATTCCCAGAATAAATGGAAGGATGTCAATGAAAACCGCAATCAGTAGCCGACAGTCGATCAAATGTGCCTGGCAACATGCTGCATGTTGCGAGTTCCTGCCCGCTAGCTATGGATATCTTTGGACTTTGACGTGGAGTACTTACAACTCCTCTAATTCCTTTCCTGCAAGTCACTCAATGCACAGAAAAAAAAGTTTTACATTTTCTAGGGTAGAAATATTTGGTAAAACTTTTGAGTTTTTAACTTTTTTTTTTTTAATTTTTAAAATCTATCTATCGATACTTTTTCAATTTTCTTCCAAATTTAAATTTAAACTCGAGTTGCTTTCTTGCTGTGCACTGGTTTGTGTTGTCGCTGGAATGTTGTCATGACGACACGCCTACTTTCAATTTTCAAGGGCGACTCTCTGGGCTATGGCATTTTCCTTCATCCCCGTTTGTGGCTATTTATATCTTGGCAACATTTTTTGTTGGCCTTTAAGTTCCTCACGTGCCCGTGACGCAAATTACAGAGAGCCCTAATTGCACTCCCAGCTGCAGGCAAATCCCTTTTGCAGCTCTGATATTTTTCTGATTGTTTTTTGTTCGCAGCCCACGGAGGCTCAGGTCGTGCAATTAGCCTGAACATAATGAGGCCAGTTGGTAAGAAAAGAAGGGGATCTTCAGCTTTCCTCCCTATCTCGAGTACACATTTCTGCACTTAGTCATTTTCCGTGGGCAAACAAAACACGATTAACGCTGAAAATAGCTGCCCTAATTTTGGTTTCTTTATTTGCAGAAATGGAATTAATATTTTATATTGTTTATAGATTGGTTTGATAACTTTTAAGGTCACAATAATGATATAATATATCACACATGACATTTCAGCAGAAAGTCAGTTATGATGAGGAACGTAAACAAAGTTTTTATACATAACCTTGGCTTTAAAATCATTTTATCCGAAAAATTAGTTAAGAAATTCAAAAAATAAGTAAGTAAAGATGATATCTAGAAATAAATTCCATATTTTTCCTGTGCATCATTGGAATTTATTTGAATTTTCCATCTGTCTTGCTTGAACAAAAGAAACCACATTTTCCACTTAATTGCCTAGTCATTCTACTTAGACTTTTCCCCGTTGCAATTCTCTTCACACTCTCTAAGATTTCTAAGTAGTTTAAGTATTTTTGGGAGATACAAATTAAGATAATTAATCAAGACTCGTTTATATCTGTTTTTGGGGTCACTCCTCAATCCACGATTATCGAGGCCCATATAGATATTGAACATATGTTTATCAGACATTTGTTTACGACCATCAAGTCGTACAAATAATAAAGAATGACGTCATTCCATGGTCGAGTGGCGCCGCCTTAATTCGCTCATTCATTCGCCAATGTCCCGCCATTTAATGATCCCCTTCCCCCACCCACCTCTTGGTCACTCATGTGTGACGTCGGCGGTCACGTTAACATGAAATTCCGTTTACATAAGTGACAACAGCCTACGAACACCTTCTTAACATTATTCAAATATGTATTCTACGTTGATATAATATATAGCAAGTAAAGTTCGTAAACCGGTTGACTGACTGCATTTGCAAGGGGAGAGCTCTCCTTGAGAGCAAGTGTCGCCTTGCATTAATCATCGCTGCATCGATCGGGAGCTTATTGCGAAATCTTTTGTTCTGAAGAAGTGATCTTGCAGCAGAATGTAAATAAAAACTAAAAACAAAAACATTTCAAGGAGAGAAAAACATTTAAGGAGCCTACAAGGTAACACCACATTGCTTACGGAGAGACCCAATCTATAAAATATAAAAAATAAAAAATATTCTACGAACAAAACATAAGTATTGCAAATTGAAAAGCTGGGTTTTGGTTTGATAATTGCGAGGAACAACAATAAAAATTGCGGAAAAATGCAAGTTTGATTAAAAAAAGGCGATTGAGTTCTTCGAATTTCCTTCCATTTACGACATAAATAAGTCTCTTCTAATACTCACAAAACATTAGGTTTATAGATTAGGAAACAGTAATAAAAATATGTACATTCAATAATATTTTATATTAAAACAAAAAAAAAAAACTTTGTTATTGGAATAGCCACATGTCTCAAGTAAAAACCAAAATCCAATCGAAATTTCTAATAAATTGTAGGCTTTTAACATGACTCATTTCAGTTTCTGGAAATAACCAAGTTTTATATATTTTCAAACACTTTTTAGGCAGAAGCAAGTGTTACACATTGGCAAAGTAAACTTATTTATTTATGGATAGACAAGAAAACTCTTTCATGCTCTTTTGCCATAAAAACGACTTGCCATTTCATGTTCTGGCTCCATCAACAGCCAACATTCTTATTAGTTCCATGTTGTTTTTCGCCAAAAAAAAGAAAATTCCACCACTTTTTTATGTCCAAACTTTTGACAGTTTAACGCTTTGCCGGGCAAAAATCTTTCAACCATAATTCAGTTCTTTATGGCCAATAAATGAAAAAGTGGCCCGACTCGTGATTTTCACTCGTTGCATGTGCAACAGATTCATTTCGATGTTTGGGTTTTGGTTTTTGTGGTTTCCAGTCACGTGTTCTGCGATTCACGCCCCTTCCCGTCCCACACCGAAGTTTTCCAGGCTACGTGCTTGAGTTCCAAGTGCTGACCCTCGTCACGGGGAAATTTTACTCCGGTTTTCCACTTCTGTTCATTTTAATTTGGCAAGCAGTTGGCTCAAATTGAATTTTCTATGGGCTACAACTCAGAGTTTATTTCTGCAATTATCTGGAGTCGAGAAAGTGGTGTCTCCTTGTTTCGGTTTACCTTTACCTTTTCCCTGTGCCCAACGGAAATTTACGACTCTTTCGCCAGAGTTTTCCTGCCGCCTTTATTTGATTTCCCCCCGTTGACCTTTGGTGCGGTGCGTTTATTTGTGCAAAACTCAAGAGTTTTCCTTTGTTTTCCATTTCAATTGAAATTTTTAGCCCGCAACATCTTAATGGAAAGTTTGTTCGTACAGAAATTCTGTGATTGCAATTGCAAACATGCCGCTGGCTCTTGGCCAAAATAATGAGCAACAGGCCCAAAGAAATACGAAATGCTTGTATCAGGAAATATTTTTATTCATCTGCATTGCCTGGAAGCGACGAAGGGGTGTGGGTTTGCTTCAGTTGGCTTCATTAAAAATTCAAAAAAGCCAATTGCAAATTTGCAATTTAGGCCAAGCTAAGATTTGCTGGCTCATAAATCAAACTATTTGTCAATTGGCAGTCAATCGGCTAACAACGGCATCGATATCTAGGCCCAGATCTGCCCACCCAGACTAGAAAAACA